GTATACGGATTTCTTATGTTTGCATTTACTCCATTCTTGGCCTAGCAAATTCTGTCAATACGTCTTTTTTCCCTTATCTCAGCATCCCTCTGCTAGCAGGACCTGTCCACACAACACTTCATCACTATGGCTTAGCAATGATTTAACATCTAGAATTAAGGATCAAACTTACAGCAGTCTGCTCTGAAGTATTTCCAGCTCAGATTGGTGACCTTTTCAAACTGTAGTTTTTATGAATATTATGAGTTCCCTCTGTGAGCAGGCAGTGTGACTTCATCTGGGAATGGACAACTTCCCATGCCAGGCAGCATGGAAGATGAGGTCCAAAAGTTGTCTAACTGCCCACTGAGGGTAAAAGCCATGAAGCCAGGCTTGCAAGTGGTGCACTGAGCCTGAAACAGGGCTTCTAATGCCCCTCCCAGGGACCATCTTGCTGCTGAGCTGGCTTCCCACGGTGTCTGGCCCAGCTGACCATTAGACAGCCATGCAAGGCAGCTGGGGGTAGACCAGTCATAGATTTACTGGAAGGATCAAGAAAGGACAGAAGGGTAAAAGGGACTTTGCTTCCTGCCTACTCTTTATGTCCTGTCTGACAATCTGTACAGCTCCATGTCTCACACAGTTGCCACACAGCCCACATCCGTGTTGTGCCCCATCCCCACCATGCATTGGGAAGGGGAGATGGAGGTGCAACAATGCACATCCTTGAACAGACAAGGCCAAGCCTCTTCCAACATCTTTAAGAAAGTAAATGTTCTGTTTTCTGCATTGAGAACATGCAGTTGCAATTTCCCTGTTGAAAAAGTCAAGATTTCCACGCTCTCTTAGCAAGTCCTTCTGAGGATTGGCCCATCTTACCTTCTGTACCGTGCCATTTTGAGGGCTGTTGAAATGCTGAAGCAAGCACTACATTTCAGTGAAATGGTGACATTTATGAAGTTAGTGGGTAGGACTTGTGTGTGTAATGGCAGCACTTTCTTAACCAGTAGCCCCAGGCTGCTAAAGTCATTTCCAGGGAAAAAAAAAAAAAAAAAAAGAAAAGAAAAAAGTAGAAACTTACTGCTTCCAGGCTGGCAGCAAAATCATTTATTGTGGGAAAGCTAAACTTAAAACCACCAAACCCCACTAATTTCCATCCACTCTCTCACACACACTGATACATGGAAAGAGGCCTTCCTGAATGAATTTCCTTAAATATTTAAGCAATTTTGATACCAAAACTAACATTTCTCACCCAGGGAGACTATAGTGGAATGTCCCACAGAAATTAATGCAACTCTTAGCAGTTTCTGTTTTTCAAAACAGCTGGTGTGACCAAACTGAATCCAGCTTTAAACAGGAGGAGGGCATTGGCAAGATACTTTCCGCAACAAGGCCTTAAATATTAGTATATTCTCTGTACTCAAGGGTTCTCATCTGCAAACCTTCTGGTTATACAACATGGCTTTTTATGCTTTCCCAGCCTTCACTTATGTAGAGTAGAGGTTGATTAAATCCATTCTGAGCTACGTTGTTACATCAGACATGCCACAGTTAGATCTGAGTGTCTCCCCTGTTTATAGAAATGGGACAGGAAAGTAACACTTTAAATACCTACCTATGCTAAAAAAGACAGGCTAAAAATTGCTTAGGTAGAATGCTGAATAAATGTTTCATATATATAAATAAAATTTATAAGTAAACAAAATATATAAAGAAAATATTAAGGCAATCTTTAACAAACCACATTTCTGAAGACCTGAATTATAGTTCCACAGTCTGTATTTAATACAATATTATTTTTTTGCTCAGTGGCTGTGAGGGAAGAGCTGGATGCCTGAGCCTGATTGCAGTCTGCCAGTAATAAGAGCTATTTATATGTGGTTAGTACAGGTTTCTTTTTTAATGAAGTTTTTGCAGACTGAGTGACACCAAATAATAGAAATATGTAAGCAAAAAAACATGCAATAAGCACAGAGAATTGGAACATAGTGTTGTCAATGGTTAGAGAACAAGATCTTTGCTAAGGAAATATTTAGGAAAACATGTCTGTACCCATAATAGCTGTAACTGGAAAGCAGCATGCATGGGCTTTGTGCTGTGCAGAGAGTGCCACCCTCTGCTTTTGCAGAGTATGGAGCCTTTCTCTCCCTGAATCTCCCTCTTTCACTAGTGCAATTCCCAGACACAGAGCAAGTTTCAAAAATCCTCTGGTGGATAGGTAACTCTGCAAATGGTCTGTCATTCTCTGTTAATTTTAATTGTTAGCTCAGCTCTAATTTGGCATTATATGCCTTTTTATTTTGGTCAGAGCAAAGATGAATAAATTTGCCTTCCCCTTCTAGGGGCAAGGCTCTGTGGGTTCCCAAAAAAGACAATTCCTATTAAGGTCTGAGAGAGCTTACTTGGAGGGAAGGCGGCAGGACAGCTCCTGCATGCAGCCTTGTTGAAGCATGAAAGAATGCTGCGGCTGGCTGCGGTTAAGGGACTCGTTGTTGTACCTTCTGATTTTTATATTGGAAGAATAAAAGAGTGCTCTGCAAGAAGAACTTGAATAGACTTCTGGATAAGCCATGGGCTCTTTCTCTGCTGAAGACAGGCTTCAGTTTACACAAAAAAGTCTTCTGCAAATTTACAGGAATCCCTGCACCTAAAGGTCTTGTTTGTGTTAGTGCCTGACAATTTTTCTGGCTTTTTAAACAAATACCACGACATTCCCCTGTTGTGCTAAAACCTATGTTACTGATGATAGTTATCTTTCAGAATGAAGGATTCTCTTTCTCGTTCAGGCAGCCTGTTGAAGCCTGCGGCACCTTTGTGCCACGCTTGGGCAGCAGTCTCTAAACAAGTGGTTATTCTTGTAGCTGAAGGCCTTGGTGCCATGTGGCAGACTAATAAGTAAAAAAGAGATACTTTGGAGCTTTACCCAAGTAATAAATTGTCCCAGAGTGATGAGATCAAAGTCAAGAAGCGAACATAGACAAATACTCCAACTGAACAGCTACATTAGTGACTCTACAGTTCTTAATTTGAATTCTCTGTGGGAAGTAAAAGGACAACTTTTTACATTTTGAAAAAAAAAATCAAAGCAACAGATTGAACAAAGATTAGGCAGAGTCTTCCTCACCATATTGTCTTTGACATCTTCTGTGGAAGAGTATCCAACAAAGGTCACTACTAAATCATTTGAAACACTCATTCATACATGCAAGTTCTGGGGGATTCCTCTCAAATCTCAGCAAAGGCTCATTCTGTTAATGTCCCTTTCACCCAGCTCTCCTTCACCCATACAAACCCCACATATGGTTTACAAGCTCAGTGCTGATCATGTGAAACCAGCCAAAAAGGCCAAACTTCAGTTCACATTGGTACTGAGCCATAGCCCGGGACTGCCTGCTTGTACAGGCAGCTGGCACAGGCAGCAAAACAGCAGGAGGCTGCTGTTCTCTGCATCCAGATATGGTTCTTTGACATAATTGGTGCAAATCCCTCACTGAGACTGCGTTTGTGAATTTGTGAGCAGTAAAAGGCGTTTCATTCCGTAGAGTCTCTAAGAAGATTGGGCTGAGGCACACACTAGCAGTCCTTCTTGATCAAGCTCATTTAGTCCTTATCTCTAATTATCGGGCTTGTTAGCCTCTCTCAGATCCATGCATGCCTGCATTTCCACTTGCAAACAGTCCTCTTCCTGAATTAGTTTGTAAACTTATATTCTCTTCCAAATCATGCCTCGAGGGCTACCTCTGCATAATGTGCACAAGAAAACACCCAGTCACTGTCATTAGCAATCCTTCAGGAGCTTGGTTAGCAGGTTTGCAATTTAAACAATTTAGACTCAATGATGGTTTGGGCTTAACTATCTTCCTGACTCATTAAACAGTCTCACGTCTCCCCAGAGAAACAGCTCTGTGGGTTCATGTTCATATTAAGGATAATTTGGACAGACTGGTGAAAGAAAGGAGGAATGCCTGGAAAAGCTGACTAAGTATGTTTACCTGGCAATTATATTTAGGGTGACAATATGATGTTAGAAGGTGTTTTTATTATGAACATAAAAATGTTCAGCGTTTTCTGAACAGGGAGGGAGGCGGGCAGTGATGTGACCTTTCAGAGAGGTGTCTGGTTTTCCATACCCATTTACTAAACAACACTCCAGTCCACACAGACACTCTAGCGAGGTTAGGAGTAAAATCTACCCAACCAATAAACCCTCCAGAAACCCCCAGGTAATTCTGATGTAACGAGAAAAGCTGCTATACTAATGGAAAAAACCTTGAAAAGCAAAAACCACCAACATAACTGTAGGAGGGAAGAGTTTTGTGAAATACCACCCTGATGCACCAGTTTGCAGTACCCCAGAGGATTTCTGGGATGCCCAATGCCAGAAAGGTGCTGAAAACTTTAAGGATTGATTCATGTGAAAAGGGCCATCAGGAATGCTGGATACATGACATTAACAGGACATGTTATTGAACTCCCGATTCCAGTCCAGTAAACAGTGACACTGATGCAGGAACGGGAATGATCCAGATAACGAAGGCTGCGAGGGGCGCATTGCTTTTATACAGAGATTTAATTTGAATTTATGTAAGTCGTTTGCCGGTCTCGGGGCCGTGCACCGTAAGACCCCCCCGGCTGGCCCGGCCCTGCCCCGCTGCGGGCTCCCCTCGAGGAGACAAGGCCTCGCCGCTCCTGCCGGCCCCCGCGGCAGGGCCCCGGGCTGGCGCGGAGGGCAGCCCGCTCCCGGCGGCGGGGGCCGCGGCCAGGAGAGCCGCTCCCCCTTCCCCCGCTCCCGGAAGAGTCCGGCTGGAAAAGCCGCCGCCCCTCCAGCCGGCCCGGGGGTCTCAGCCGCCCCAGGCTACGGCGGCTGCCGGCCTTGAGGCGCGAGGGCGGAGGGGGCCGCGCCGGGCCGAGCCCGGCCCTCAGCGGCGGCGGCGGCGGCGCCCGGCTGGCGGGGGAGGGCGGACGGCGTCGCACCGCTGCGCCCGCCCCTTCCCGGAGGAGGCAGCGCCACGTCTCGGGTAGGAGCCGGGCGTCGGGCGGGCGGCTCCAGGTCTGTGGGGGGCTTGCCGGGCAGGGTGGCGGCGGGGGCGGCTGAGGCGCGGCGCCCGCCGCGGGGGGATGGCTGGGGGCGGCCGGGCGCTGCTTCGAGCCGGGGGACCGCGCTCGGGGCTGCCCGCCCTCCCTGCGGCCTGCCGGGGTGCGGGGAGCCGCCCGGCTCGGCCCGGCCCGGCCCGGCTCCGCGGGCTGCGGCCCCGGGGCTCCGGCTGCCTCTGCCGGCGCCACGCAGAGGGCCCCCGGACCCTGCCCGGGACCCCGCGGCCGTGTCTCGCCGGGCGGCGCCCCCAGCCTGGGGCCGGGCTCCGTTGCCCTCCTGGTTATCAGTGTTTGAAGCAAAATCGGTTGTTTTGGTACAGCTCCTCTCCCTGTGAGGTTACTGCTGGGTTCCCGTGGCGTGCTCGCGTCTGCGTGTGTGTTTGCCTGTGCTCAACACAAAAGGCACGGGATGCTCTCAAGCCAAAATACACTTAACCTCTAATATTTGGGCGTGGGTTGTACAGGAGAAAGCCGTTTGTCGTCACTTTCTCACTAAAAGCTCTTTTACGACGAGCATAACAAACCATCTAACGTTGGCTGGATTTTGCCACGGTGTAAGCAGTATAAATTGTGCTTGCCTTTTGTCTGCAATTCTTCTTTGTGGCTTGTGATGCAGTATCTATTTGCCACACAACGGCTGTTCTTCCAGAAGTTTTATTATAAGCTATATTAGACAGAAAAGCTTTCAAAATCAGTAACAAATCACAGTGAAGGTATTAATCTCTCTGTTTGGTAGAGGTTTTTCTTTTAGAAATGCACTCCAGGTTTATGGCTCCTTCACAGCTCACCTACTAAAGGGTCACCTACATAATTGTCTAGTCCTGTGTATCCTGAGCAGTTAGCAGCTTCAGTAACATTTTGGAGATGACTGGCTGTGTTGCTGGGTGACCAGGGCAGTTTGGTAGAGTAAGTTACACAAGTACTCTGGAGATATGGAAGGAATGCTGCTCAAAATGCTTGTGTTCATGTAAAAATGCAATTAAAATATTCTTGACATTCTCCCTACAACACCCCCTTTTTTTCTAACTGGGGATTTCTTATGTTTCTTTAGTAAATAGGAACCATAACATGTTGTAATCTGCATTGAGCTGTCAGTTACTATTTGAACAAAATTTAAATACTTGAAGTGACTGTACAACAGCTTCTGTCAGATTGGCTGGGTCAGTACCCAAAGGTAAGATATGAGTGTCTGGAGAATTGTTTGCGAATTCTATAAACAGTGTCTGGAAAGCCTTCTCTTGACTCGCCACAGGAGAAGGCAGTGTTGAACTGCAGCCCAGGCCACGTTCTGACTGCCAATGTGTGCTGTAATTAGTAGTTCAGGCTCTGTACAGTGATACATACTTGTTTCTCTGCAGACAAGTGTACAGTAATGATGTAATTTAATTTAAAAAGAATTAAATCTGAATTCCATACTGCATTCTAACTAAAGTTTTTGAAACTTAAATGTGAGTAGGTTCTTGAAATGAAACATGGTATGAAAGTCCAGATTGTAATTTACAGAGCAAAATGCTACTGTGAATACTGGCTCCCTTACTAAAGCAGAGGTCAGAGAGGCATTTCCATTAAAAGGGATGGTGATCTTAAATCAGTTGTCTTGTTTAATATTATCTTATTGCATCATTATGCTGGTCCATCTGTGTTACTAAAAAAAAAAAAAAAAGGTGATTATAAAAAAAGCTGTTAAACAGATCACTTCGTAATCACGAAAGCTGGATACTTGGTTGAACTTCATTGTCTCTGTTGTTACCCCCATGTCCTGGCTCTGTGTGTGAAGTTGGGATGGTGGGTAATCTGTGAACACTACTTTCTTTTTAACTCGTGTTTTCAAAGCTCTAAGAAATGTTTGTAAATTTACCACATTTTGTTTCTAGAGGATGCAGCTTCTTGGTGATTACAACTTCAGCTGTGAGCTGTTTTCATGATCTCCTGGAATTATCAGCTGCCTGCTGCATACCAACAGCTGTAAAGCAGAGAACTGCGCTCCTATGTAACATCTTGATGCTGTTGTTGCTGATGGAGAGAAACAGGACTTGGTAGTTCACTTGTTGGAAAATTATTCAGAATAAAAAGTTTCCACGGATCTGGATTGTTTTTACCATGAACTCCTCGTCAGTCCAGCAGGGCGTTTACTTGGAGAACAGAAGCAGTAATGGGGCTCCTAGCAGCTCTGAAGATCTTTCGGATTGTAAAACCAAGTCAGATTTGCCAGTAACAACAGATGAAATTAACAGTAAGTTACTTCATATGCACCAAATAATCTCTTAGTTTTACCCAGGCTTCTCTATAACTATCTGTTTTGTTGTTCAGGTGGTGCTGAAGGACTTTATTCCTTGAGGTCAGGAATTTCTTGTACAGCAGTTTTAAGCAAGTTTGGTGAAGGCTATGGCTCTATGTATGGGAAAACCGTATTTTGTTTTAAAACTTACTCTTTCAAGACAAAACCAAACTATTAATTTAAGTACTATTGGCAGTCAGTTGAGTATGTATTATTCAGGGTGTTACTCTGTCTTCTGATAGTGTTTCCAAGAGGATATATCTGAAATTCTCTAGAAGTTCTGAGTTATTGTTATGGAGTAAGTTCATGACTGGAGTACTTTATTTTCCTAATAAATTGGTTAGACAAATACCAAAATGTATTTAAAATATCTCTCTAAACTTCCATTCATGTAAGAGAGGTGCTGGCATGTACTCTCCAAATTATCTCGAAATAACTTTTATATGTAGACAAGCTCTATAATAAAATAATCATACAGCTATTTACAAGAAAAGAGAACACTGATCTGGACAGATTATTGAATCAGACTTAACTTGAAAGGGACCTCTGTGGGTCATCTAGTCCAACCCCATGCACAGAGCAGACCTAGTTTTGAAGCTAGATCGGGTTGCTCAGGGCCTAGTCCTTTTGAATTCTGAAAATCTCCAGCAAGTGAAGTTCAACAGCCTCTCTACCCATTCCAGTATTTAACTGCTTTCATTGGGAAAATCTTCCTTGTATTGAATGGAAATCTCCATATTTCCACTACACGTATCTGAATATATGTTGGTATATAAGGATATGTTGGTAAATGGGTGGAGGGGGGGTGTATATGCTCCAGCTGCGTAGATACACAAAAGTACAGAGGTTCCTTATGTAAAATCACGTGATCATGTGATGAAGTTGTTAGCCCTTCCACCCTCCTCTCCTACCACAGATTTGTCATCTTGTCATGGGCAGGAAGGTGGAGGCCCGAGACTTTATTTGCATTTCTTACACTGCCCGTTAGCAGACTGGCGGAGTGTAGTTATATGATGATTCATTCATCTTTTATGAAGTTAGAGATCACACGTTCCTGTCTTCTCCTGTGTTGGACATAGTCCAAACAATCGAATTGTGGCTTACAAATAGGTTGTGTGTCTTTCTACTGTTTTCAATGTAATTGTATCTCCTCCCCCACTGTTCTAAAAAGACCACTGTTGAATTGACAGTACTGCTATCAAATTACTTTAGTTCAAGGCAGCGTTTAGATTCTGAATGTCTCATGACCTCAGGAAGTTGCCAGGAAACCATTCCTCCAGAATTTTGCTCCAGCATCTGTTTTGTATATGTATGCCACTCACAGTTGTGAAGATGAAAATGTAAATAAAGTATAAACCCGATGAGGTAATAGCTGCAATTTCTGAAAGATGGGCAGAAACAATATTTCTGAATATGCAAGGTATCTTCTTTTGGCTTTTTGTGGCTATCCTTAGCACTGACATCTATTTTAAATTTGGTTTTGACAATCTTTCAGTTTTAAAGTGCCTTAAACTCTGACTTTGGTTAGCCATTAAAAAGGCAGTCCTGTCCTCTTGTCTTCCTTTGCATCCTTGTTACACTCGTTCCTTCCATTGTGCCTGCAAGTGTCTTTGTGACCACATGGTGGACTAAATCAGAGAACTGATTCAGATTAAAATGGCCTGAAAATGTTCTCTACGTGACAAATAAGATACTCAAAAGTGTTTTAATTCAAATGTTAGAGAGCTGATAGGTTTTGGCAACCTGCAGCTGAAAACTTTTTATTTTTACCCACATTCAGTTTCCTTATTCAGTTTCCTCTGAGCTGGTTCACTGTACAAATATCTGTGCTGGTTTAAGAGAGGATGCGCTGCAGAGGTGCGAACAAATGATTAGAGGTGGAAATTTATCTTTTCCTCTTTAAATTACTCTGAAGTGAAATTTGACTGCACTTAAAAGGAAACCTTTTTCTTTCTTCAGTAACAATAAGGGAAAAAAATTAAGATTATCTGTAATGTTTTCCCATATGGCTTATTTAATTTCAGGGTGCACTTCAATGTTCTCCACATACATGAATGATAATAGCATTATTTTTGAATTATTTTGCTTTCAGAATTTTGTAGTGATTCATTATATGGGGAGGAAAAGTTTAATAGCGATATGTTAATAGACTGGTCGAAATCAATAATGAAAGTTTTATTGACTCACTGTAATCAGCTTCCTGGCTATAGAGTTATTTCTGCATATAAATCTTAGAAACACTTAGTTTTGGGAGGATCTGTTTCTCAGTTCTGGTTTGTTTGATTTTTTTTTTTTTTTTTTTCCTTTACCCTCACATATTTGAGCAGATTTTTAAAAAAACCAAACCACTTATTCAAGTCTGTAGCTCTGAGAAGAGGCAGAAATAGAAAGAGGAAGCTTGATTTTTCCGCTTTCAAATATTTTTGATCATAAATGTTAAATATTTTGAAATATTTTGATGAAAAAATTATGAAATCTCCCATATTATTCCAATGACATCCATTTATTCCAGTGATACTTGGTATGGGAATGAACAGAAAGAGAGTGGCTATTTCAGTACCTTGCTCATTTGAGTTCTATAATAATGCATTTAAAGTTACATACATAGTTTTGTTGCAACAGTAGTTTCATAAATGTAAGTAGTCCCCAACTGAGTGAAGTAGAAATGTGTAAGAAGTTCTGTGAAGTTTTAAACTGGTTTTGAAGATGCATTTTTCCTAATGGAGAAGGAAAATCCCATATTAGTAAGTGGGGATAAAATTGGTATTAAAATGGTTCTTGAATTGCCTTTTAATTGATATATTTATTATTTTGATACATGTGAGCTTAGCTACTGTACTTTTGATGAAGACATTCTGTTTGCAAAAATTTAAACTCCGTTTAAAATGGAGAAGCTGCTTGTCCCAGGCTGGAAGTCAGGATGGTGGAAGCTTTCTCCCCAGCGCCCAGCAGCATACCAAATAGCTGAATCATTCAGCGGTTGCTGAGCCTTATTTGCAGTCGGTTGCCACTCAGTGTGACACAGATCATGTTACTTACACTTGGTGTTTCATGCTTCTAAACCTAACAAGATTTAAAAACCTGTGTGAGGTTCTGATTTTATGATCACTTTGGAGGTCCTGCTTGAAGGCAACGTAGTAAAGCAAATGAAAGGTACTTGTTCAGATCTTTTTAAATGAAGGATCAACAGTCCTTTATAAAAGACCTCTGGGTGGTTGCTGTCATTAGCAATTTCCATATTCTTACAGTCTAAAGGCAATAATGGTAGCATTGGATTTGTGGAGAGGTGTGAAGATAAATGGGGTGGCTTAAAGTATAGCTCAGCAAAACTTTCTTTTCCAGCTACCAGTATTAAGATCAATGAAGTGCCAAATGAAGATGGAAGTCTGGAGATAAACAGCACAGTGGATGCCTGCCAGAATGGGCCAGAGTCGCTCTTCCCTGACTCTCCTGAATCTTTTGACCCCACCAGCAGTATGCAGAGTCAAGAGTCGTCCCCAGGTGTGACTGGTTTCCATGACAGCCTAAAGAAGTCTCAGGGAACTAGTGCTGAGGGCATAGTTCTTAGAAAAGAAGCTTTGCAGTCTCTCAAACTAAGTCTTCCCATGCAAGAAACTGAATTGTGTAAGCATCTGTTTACGGTGGCGCCCCTGCTTTCTCTTGCTGCATAAAGCTTTTAACTCTGAGCCTGGCTCTAGAATCCTATAACATGATTTTAAGCTTGGACTAAACTTCGTTTTTGCAGTAAACTTTTACTTTGAACTACAATTCATTTTCTTTCCGTAAATCACCCTCTGCCGCAGCTAAGGCACATGCCTTACCACTTAAAAATTGTTCTTATGCTGGAGGGGAATTTATGCTTTCTGGGGCTGAAGCTATTCTAATCTTTTTGACTATTAGGAGTAACAAGTGACATTAAAAAAGAAAAAAAAGAACAGCTGAACAAGGTGATTTTAAGCTAAGTAATGAAGGGGGGAGTGAAGGGGGAAGCATTTATGTTAAGGTGTCTGATGCTGCAGAAGTTTTCTGAAATAATGTTTTAAAAAGCCTTATTATTATTGGAAAGATTTAATGTGAGTTAACAAAACGAAAGAAAATGTGTCTAGGAAATATCTTTCTCTGACCTGTTGGGAATGCGTGGACTGAGTAGGTCTTGCTTAGTTTTATAATTTTAGTATTGTCAGAAGTGCAAGACAGGTGAGATTAAATGACAACAGTAGTTTTGTTTGTGCTGTATAATCTCTTGTCATATATATGTGGAGGATCTACATTAGGAACTACTAGCATTTGCAAACAGAGCAATGGAAATACACAGGCTTTATCAGTGCTTATATAAGGGTATATTAGAAGAGGTATTCTGACTTGCATGCCAATGGGCTTTCCTTGCGTTCCTTGCTTAAGCATGAAGCATGTTGCTGATGGTAGAAGGGGCTTTTTCCTCTTGCATCAGATTTACCAGTGTTGGTGTTTTCTCTTTGACTGTAAAGCTACCTTTCACTTACAGGCTCAGTAGAGTCTTCACTCCCATTGGAGAAAGAAGAACAAATAAGACTTCAAGCAAGAAGACGGCTAGAAGAACAGCTCAAACAGTACCGAGTGAAGAGACATCAAGAAAGAGTGAGTACCACACAACAGCTCGGGATTCAGTGTGTTCTTGAGAAGCTTGAAAATTTTATCCTTTCTGTGCTCTACATTACTGTTTTCTGTTTTAAATGATCCATGTTTTTTCAAATGTGATAAGGCTTTTTTTTTTCTTTTCTACTGGACATGCAAAATTCAGGTTTCTGTTACCTCATTGGTAATGTTCCATTTTGTTCTAGTTGAAATAGGAGGGAAAACCCAAAACCTACGATTACTTAAGCCTAAATGTTCCATTTTTCCTATATTTTTCAGTTAGTTTTTGGAGTCTACCTTGATCATTTTCTACATGCATATACATGCATGATAGGGTTGATTGCTGGTGTCATTTATCTTGTTTATGAAATGATGCATATACTTAAATATTAATGTAAGAGTAGAGCTTTACATATTGAGTTCTGCAGAAAATAAGTCTTTGATACTAGTTCAAAGGTAACATTCTGGAATTTACCATTGATTCTTTGCTTCTTTTAGTCAAATCAGTCTACATCCAAAAACCGGCCCTCCAGCACCCTAGATCCTGAGCTGATGTTAAATCCAGAAATCTTGCCAAGAGCTAGCACTGTAGCGATGACAAAAGAATACTCCTTTTTGCGGACCAGTGTCCCCAGGGGGCCAAAACTGGGTAGCTTGGGACTTCCAGCATCCTCAAAAGAAAGAAGAAGTTCAAAACCTAAGACCAGTAAGATCCGGTCCTTGGCTGACTACAGAACTGAATATTCGGGCTCTAGAAACACTACTGGGAGTTTTGTGACTACTGATTTATCTGGTGGGACTCTGAAGCAAAGCAGAAGCGGTCCAGCATCAGTTGTTTCTGAGATTAGTCTACTATCTGACACAGATGAACGAATAGAAAATTCTTCCTTGGCAGGAGATAGCATTTCAGAGATTGATGGGAGTGAAGTAGGAACGAGGCTGGATGGAAATGAGAGTGACAGCTCTACCTACAGCAGCGTGTCAGGAAAAGGGCTGTATAACAGTTTACAGAATGCAGAAGGCAAACAGAGTATTCCATATACAATAAATGGTCAGAAGGTACATCCTGATGCAATGGGGCAATTTCCTTCCATCAGTGAGGTGTTACAGGCTGCAGCAGCGGAGCATCAAGCGCAAGAGCAAGAAGTTAATGGGGAAGTACGGAGTAGGAGAGACAGTATTTCTAGCAGGTAAGAAAGATCACTGTACAGTGAGGCCATTATTAGGCATTATACTTTCTTGGAATAGGCAGCCCATTACTCTTATCTTCTACCAACTTTGGATCCAGTTTTAACTTATATTTATTGTGATCAAATCTGTTGTTGACTTACAGATTCTAAAAGAAACTGAAAGGTCACCTCACTTAAGAACCTATTTACTAAGTGTATCTTTAAAGAAAGATATTTTTGCCACTGACAGTGTGTTTTAAATGTACTGCTAGCATTTGTTTCTATCTGTACTGATTTGTGAAGCGGGCATTCATTCACTGAATCACTGGTGTGCCATTGGTCTTTAATGTCTGAAAGTGTTGACTTAACTGACTCAGTGATATTTATTATTATCCTTTTCCTGATCTATGCATGTACCTTTCAGTCCTCAGTGTTATGAAACGCCAAGAGTCTTGTCCTAGATACTCTTATCCTCTTCAGCCCTTTAGGATGAGATTTACTTAGTCACAGAAGCTTATGTGTGTATAGTAGGTATTAAACTGTGATTCAGCAAGCAGGTGGATGACTGGTGAAGCCCTTAACAATGTGGCTGTGTTTTTTATCAGTTGTCTGCAGATGCGTGTTTTATACATGCTAATTTTGAAAATACCTTTGTTTTTTTTTTCCTGTATTGGAATAAAATGTAGTGCCCCAAGATCTTAAGGTAAAATTAGTTGTCGACAATTAGTCCCGCTTAGACTTAATTCTTACAGAAACGAGAGGTCTTTTTCTCTAGACTCCTTGGCTCTACATCTGTGAAGGAGCATAAGGAATCCTTTGTACCAAATACCTGTTCTTCCTTTCTTTGCAGCAGCTGTTGGTATTTCTCAGGCACTTTCACATTAAAGCAGACAATTGCAGACAATAGTTGTGGAGGTTTTGTGCTGCTATTATGTCCAGTTGTCTGTTTATAATGGGATATGGAGGTACAGAATATAATGAAGTCAACCATTGCACTTCTGTAAAATAACAAATATATAGGTGCCCCACTAGATTCTAGTCGTTGCAAATATAGGAAACAAATTTATAAAACCTTAGCGTGCATATAATTTCTTTATGTCTTTGGATGGTAGCAAGGGTTGGTTCATTGTGTTCTGGTTCCACCATAAAGCCAGAGGAAAAATGTCCTAATTTTTAGGTCACACATGTAGTCTGAGTACCTCTTAATTTCAGTGTCACTTTTCTTCATTTAGATGAGTGTTGTATTCTAACCTTTTTACTGTGTACATGCTGTCTTTGTCTCCAGTGTTTCTATGGAAAGCTCTATCGCAGGAACTCATGACGAAATGTTGCAGGTTCTGAAGGAGAAGATGAGACTTGAAGGGCAACTAGAAGCACTCTCACTAGAAGCTAATCAGGTAGAAAATGGATTTGAATTTCTGTATTTAGCAAATTATATTAATATGTTAATTAATTTTCAAAAGCTTCCTACTCATTACTTGTGGGAATTGTGTTTTGTAAAAACATTGTTGAATAAGGTACTTTACAAGTATGCTGTGTTTGGTTGACCCTGGCTGGATGCCAGCCACCAAAGCTGCTCTATAACTCCCTTCCTGAGCTGGACAGGGGAGAGAAAATAGAACAAAAGGCTCATGGGTCGAGATAAGGACAGGGAGATCATCATCACGGAAAAAACAGACCCGACTTGGGGAAATTAGTTTATTGCAAATCAAATCAGTAGGATAATGAAAAATAAAACCAAATCTTAAAACACCTTCCCTTTACCCCTCCCTTCTTCCTGGGTTTAATGTCCCAATTTTTCTCTACCTCTTCCCCCACAGATGTGCAGGGGGATGAGGGAATGGGGGTTGCAGTCAGTTCATCACCTGCTGTTTCTACTGCTCCTTCCTCCTCAGCAGGAGGACTCCTCACACTCCTCCCCTGCTCCAGCGTGGGGTCCCTCACATGGGAGACAGTCCTCCACAAACTTCTCCAATGTGAGTCCTTCCCATGGGCTGCAGTTCTTCACGAACTGCTCCAGTGGGTCCCTTCCACAGGGTGCAGTCCTTCAGGAACAGACTGTTCCAGTGTGGGTTCCTTGCAGGGTCACAAGTCCTGCCAGCAAACCTGCTCCAGCGTGGGCTCCTCTACATGGGTCCACAGGTCCTGCCAGGAGCCTGTTCCTGCGTGGGCTTCCCACGGGGTCCCAGCCTCCTTTGGGCATCCCCCTGCCCCGTGTGGGGTCCTCCATGGGCTTCAGGTGGAGATCTGCTCTACTGTGGACCTCCGTGGGCTGTAGGGCACAGCCTGCCTCACTGTGGTATTCACCACAGGCTGCAGGAGAATCTCTTCTGCTCCACCACCTGGAGCTCCTCCTCCTCCTCCTTCACTGACCTTGGTGTCTGCAGAGTTGTTTCTCTCTCATACTCTCACTCCTCTCTCCAGCTGCAGTTGCTGCTGTGCAGATTTTTTTTCCCCTTCTCAAATACCTTATCCCAGAGGTGCTACCACCATCACTTCTGTGCTTGGCCTTGGCTAACGGTGGGTCCATCCCGGAGCTGGCTGGCATGAGCTCCATCAGACTTAGGGGAAGCTTCTAGGAACTTCTCACAGAATCCACCCCTGTAGCCCCCCTGCTACCAAAACCTTGCCAGGCAAACCCAATACAGATGCTTAAGAGGATAAATACAAGGTTAGTAAAGTCTTCAAAGGCTTTAAAAAAAAAAAGTTGTTTGATTTTTTTGTTTTGTTTTGTTTTTTTTTGTTTTGTTTTTTAAAGAAGTCAAATTAAAGGAGAGTAATGCTATATAGCTTTATTTTCTCTTTGTATTGATTGATGGTATAACACATATAATAGAAAGCATTCTTCCTTAAAGTGTGGGAGCACATGTCTTAGTAAACATGTCAGGATTTTTAATGACATATAAAGTTATACGTCTTGTCTGTGCTTCCCTCTGTATTTTTCTTTGACTATTTGAAATACCTGCTAGGTGAGATGTCACTTCAAAAAAGATTTTTTTACAAGCAAGTGGTCTTCACCTTAGCAAAGCCATTTTTCTGGGCATCTACTTCAGTCAACCATTAATGCATTTTCTCATAAGACTTCTGTATTTTGATTTTCTGGATACACTCAGGCTCTCAAAGAGAAGACTGAGCTACAAGCCCAACTTGCAGCTTTGAACATGAAGCTTCAGGCACAGGTGGAGGACAGCCAAAACAGCCAGCAGAAACAGGAATCTCTGAGCTCCGAAGTGGCCACATTAAAGCAGTCATGCTGGGATCTGGAACGAGCAATGGCTGACCTGCAAAATACCTTGGAAGCAAAGAACGCTAGTTTGGCTTCTTCGAATAATGATTTGCAGTTGGCAGAGGAGCAGTACCAAAGACTCCTGCTGAAGGTTGAAGATATGCAAAAAAATGTTCTTACCAGAGACAGCACAGGTGGGATGATGTAAATGTCAATCTTTAAAATTTGTTATTCCATAAATCATTTTATTTCAACATAATTCTGAAATCCAGGAGGAAGGAGGAATTCTAATTTGTGTTTCATTGATGTCATACTAATAAAATGGTCTGAATTTTAAGATGAATGGGGTTTTTTGTGTGTGTCACAGAAGTGTCACAATTTGCAAGCTGTCACTGCCAGCTTGGAGAGGGAAGCATAAATATTTAGTCTAGTAACCGTTTGACAGTGGACTAATGGTTTTTAGAAAATTGTGCAACTACTGGTTTGTAATGATGATTCTACATGTCAGGATACCTGCTTCCTGATTTTTAATTAGTTCATATTTTCTGCCTCTAAGGAACTATTAATGTTTATAGAAGTGATTAATTTATTTTAATACTATTCTGTTATGACCTGATACTTTGGATTTTAGCACTTCCCCTCACTTTTGCAGGAAGAGCCAATCTTTATATAATTAGGCATATATGTTTTTGTTCAAAAAGAAAGAAAAAAGCAAGCTATGAATATAGCAATAGTCCTTGAAAATGTGTGCATAAAAATAGAACAATGGAGTACGCTAGTCCATGTTCTTTATTTTTCTTATTCTAGTTCATGATCTGCGACAGCAGTTGGCTTCCTTACAGAATCAGCTTCAGAAGGTGCAGTTGGAACGGACCACACTGACCAACAAGCTAAAGGCATCTGAAACAGAAATCACATCGCTCCAAAATGTGCGGCAGTGGTACCAGCAGCAGCTTGTGCTAGCACAGGAGGCCCGTGTCAGGCTGCAGAGTGAGATGGCCAATATACAGGTATTATGATTTACTTGCATATAGGAAGACTGAGAATCTATTCTTTTTTATTGTTTATGAGCTTGGACAAGGGAGCTGGTTTCACTTGTGTGTTCTTCAGGTGGAGGGCAGGGGAGGATGGTGGTTTGGTTTTAGTCGTGAGGTATTCCTGTTAGTGCTGAGGCACAAATTTAACCAAAGCACTTGCCTTCTGGTGATGAAGATCTACAGTGCCATGAAAGTAGTGACTGAGATAAGGCACAGATAGATTCAATGTGATTTTTTTGTTTGTTTGGTTGTTTTTTTTTTCTGAAAATCTTAAATTTGTTGGCCAAATTTTGAATGTTGGTATCAATCTTTGATTTATTTATTTTCCCTTCCTTTAGGCTGGGCAAATGACTCAAGCAGGTATGTTGGAACATCTCAAACTAGAGAATGTGGCACTGTCTCAGCAGCTGACTGAAACCCAGCACAGATCCATTAAAGAAAAGGAACGTATTGCAGCACAGCTGCAAAATATTGAGGTACGGTTGTAGGTGGTCTTCATGAGTTATGTTCTGCCTAAGTTGTGTATTTAGGTTTTGTAAACTCAAGGCTGTTCTGGCAAAGTAGCATAAAATTCTTATGAATTGATTCAAATGCTGCATTATAAAAAACAGTAAATATTTTGGAGCAAATAAATTTGCATGACATTATAAACAGTAAGAGGGAGCAAGGCTGTATGTTTCCCATTCCAAGGTGATACTTGCATTTTCAGCCTTGGTGTTTGTTTTTAATTGAATTTTAAAGGTGGAGGTACATGTTTTCCTTTGCCCGTTCATGAACTTTTTCAAGAGAATACTTAATTGGAAGTTAAACTAAGTCAGTAAACTGCTTCTTAAGTGTGTGAAATTGCTCAGTACTCAGGTTTGTCCTTCCTGCCCTCCAGTAAGAAAAGATGAGTAAAACCTGAAGTGCAGTACGCTCATTTTCAAAGTACTTTGAATTCTCATTTGAAGTCACATTGAATTTCAGTGACATTCCTGCTTCTGAGTCTCAAAGGGCAGTAAAGCAGCAGGTTAATGGAAGCACCTTATCTCTGGTGTTAGTAATAGTGGTTGTATAAATGACAGGAGTTGATATTTCATGAAATAGCTACAGCATCCAAGGAATCTCTTGTTTCAGAATTTTTCCAAACAGCTTAATTTTAATAAAGATTCTTTTTCTTTACATCTTTTTTTCATCAATTTAAAAAGAACATGGTATTATTTAAGAGGAATTCAGATTGTCACAAGTAGACAAGACGTTGACTGTTATTCTAAAGTGTCTTAAGTATATGAATGGGTGACTTTGGTAAAGACATACAGGTGTGTAAGACAGACATCGGAATTTTTTTTTTTTTTTTTTTTCTTTTCTTTTTACCACCCTTCCACCTTTGTGGAAATTGTAAAAGTTGATTCCTTGCTTTTTCTGTGCAGGCTGACATGTTAGATCAAGAAGCTGCTTTCATGCAGATCCAGGAGGCTAAAACCATGGTGGAAGAAGACTTGCAGAGAAAACTAGAAGAGTTTGAGGATGAGAAAGAACAACTTCAGAAAATGGCTGATTCTGCAGCAACATTGGAGCAAGAATTGGAACAGGTAGACTGTTGTTAGGTAACTTCCCAAGGGTTTCAAGGGAAATATTTACTTGGCTGCAAAGACAATAGTAAATAGAACCTGAGCTATAAAGTTTTTTAAAACCTGAAAGATTGATGCAAAAATGAAGTTCATATCAAAGACACTCTGTCCCAGGTGAAAAGGCTCAATTTTTTTTAACCATCTCAGTAACTACTTTTTTGAAATTTCAGAATTACTGTCTTATGGATGTTGAGGTTTTTTAGTGAGTTCAGTATGTGATTATTTTGAAGAGAGACAAGAAACGCAGATCCATGTTCAAAGTTGTTAGGCAGTCAGGATATCATTGTATACACTTACAGTGTAATAAATCTTCATTTCTCTACAGAGTCTTGCGTTAACCATGTAACATTACGAAGGCAGCAAATCAAGGGCTGGAATGAGATGAAGTATGTGATAGCTCAGTGTTATAGTCCATGTAATTATATGGCATTACCATTAATAACACTGAATTTATCTGGTACGTCTACCGTGGACACATTTTTAAAATAAAAATGTAGAATACTGTAAATCTTACTTAAGAATATTTTAGGTTTGTCATTCTGGTTGTTACTTAGCCTATAAGATTGCAGATGCTGCAGAAGGCAATCAATGCAATTAATAGAGCAAATAGAATTAGTGGCCTAGGAAAGTTAAAAAGTATTTTCACCTTCTGCTATTTTTCCTACGAGCTAAATATCAGTTAAAACATTTTATTTTGATTGGAGTGCTTTTGCAAAGATATCATTCATTTTATATGAACTTAATCTTAAAATAATTCTTCTTAGGTCAAGTTGACTTTGCATCAGCGAGATCTGCAGCTTGAATCTTTACAACAAGAACACCTAGACCTAATGAAGCAATTCACTCTGACCCAAGAGACGTTGCACACCAAAGAGCAGTCTCTGGATGACCTGCAAACACAGTATGATGAACTGAAGGCCAGGTTAGAAGAGTTCCAAAGCGACTCTACTTCTAAAGATGACACAATCCAGTATTTGCAGAATGAGAAGATTGTCTTGGAAGTTGCCCTGCAAGCAGCAAAAGCAAGCAAGGAGCAACTTGACGAAGGAGCAATGCGCCTGGGAGAAGATACAGAAGTAGCATCAGAAATCTTAGAACAACTGAGGCAAGAAATGGCAATCAAGTCAAGCCAGGTAACAAATCCCTAAAAGTATCTTGTTTAAAGTAGCTGTTGCAGGCAAGTATTGCCACAGGCAGTTGATAGAGCCAGTTACATGAGAGGAGATCAGTACATGCAAGTTTGTGTATGTGTATAGTTGTGAGATCCAGCTAGTGGGAATATTCAGTTCTGTCATTTTTTACTGCTGGTAGACTGTATGGCACTTTACATCCTGTTACATCATCAGTGAGCTTACAGTTTAATATCCCTTGGTATCTATATATGTTTATGCATTTGTGTGGAATGGGATGCGAAGCTGAGGTTAATTGAGCTTGTTCTGTCTGTTTTCAAGAGCCACCATCTTTCACAAATCTAGTAGTCTTAAAACACAATAATTTTGAGTGCAGATCACGGTTTGGGAAGTAATTTTTTAGTGTGCTCCTTTCCTGTGGGTCAAACATCTTCCTTATGTAGTAATTTGGTCACCTTTAATTTGCCTTTTCTCTTGAAACAATATACCAGGGTTTGCTTTTGCATAGTGCTGTATACCTACCATACTGAACTATTTTTACTTTTTTTGTGTTTGCTTTAAATTACGGTGAGTCTTCCTTTCACACCTTAGTTTGATAGTCATGTATGCTCTGTACCTTTTAGAGCATCCAAGCTCAGCAAGAGCTTTCTTATTTGAATACTGGTAGTGATGAGTTCAAAAGAAATCTCTAAAGATTACCAGGAAGATATTAATGGGAATTGACAGCATTACAAATAGAAGTATTGAAGAACTATGGAGGTATATTTAAGATAAAGGTTGGGGTTTTTTTCCATCAAAGAGCCAGCTGGTTTCTTCATTTGATGATCATATATGCATGGAGAGGTGCCATCCAGATACAACGTATGTGCACTAACAATGCATACTAACACCTCAATGGCAGGATAAGGGAACTTCATGCATTCCTGAGGGCTGACAAGGCTATGTGACCTGTGTGAATGTGTTTCGGTATATAACGTTGTGTTATCTAACAGTGCCACTGAGTTGCCTAGTCAGAAACAGGATCCTCATTAGATTAGGCAATTGGTACAGGCATAACAGAAGATACTGTCACTGCTTGAAATAACATAGAATATGACATTTGGCATGTAAAGCAATGTGTTTGCTTTTTTTTTGCCCTCTGTCAGGTAGAAAATCTGCAACAAGAAAATGCCAGCCTTAAAAAACAGGTTCAAAAAGTGAAGGAACAGTTTCTGCAGCAGAAGGTAAGCAAGAGCAAACTGTTGCAAAGGAATAAATCCAAGGAATATACTTTTCTTTTTACAGTGAAGGCATGTACTTCTGATGGGTTTGTGAGGACACTTGAATCAATTTTCTGTATCAAAGAACTTTGTGACATAAATACACAGTTTCTGTATTTCATACAGTTGAATTTTTATCTCTAATGTAAAAGCAGATCCACCAACTAATTCATGCTTTCATTGGACCTCAGCGAGTTTGCCAGATGATCTACCATACAAAACCTTTCTCTGGTTTGTTGATACTAGGTTTGCTTTTGCTAAAGCACTCATGAAATTCTTCAAGTGTTGTAATTTTCCTGGAGCTTTGGAAAACCATAGTTGCTTTGGTAATTAGATTGAAAATAAGTGCTTTACTGCAAATTTTATTTGGAGTTTACACAGTTTTGAAATATTAATTAGAAATTGAGATGCTGTTAGTGTTGCATGTATATGTGTCTTACATATAGGGTGGTATATAAGCCCACTTGCTATGGCAAAAGTTATTAATTGTGTGCCTGGGATGATTAATTTTTTACAATTAGTTTAGTTTAAAAAGATGGGATGTAATTACTGCAGTTCCATAAAGAATGTGAAGAAGAGTATACCATACTGCTATAAACACTCTTACTCAGAGATTTTTATGAACTACTGATACATAGTCTTATTTGATATCTGAGCTTACATAAAAGTCTTTGAACCAGAGTAAATATGTTACAGAAGATGATGCTGGTTTGTATTCTTTGACACAAGCCCCATCTCCTCTCAAACTAAGATAATACCAATAAATACTTTATAGTAAATTATTCTTAAGTTCAGAAAGTTGGAGCAGAGGTGACATTGTCCTCTTGAAACTCTTTTGTCCAAGGTAATGGTGGAAGCTTATCGAAGAGATGCAAGTTCTAAGGACCAGCTGATTAGCGAACTGAAAGCTACCAAGAAGCGGCTGGACTCAGAAGTGAAAGAGTTAAAACGAGAGCTACTGAAAATTGAAGTTGAAAAACAGTCACTCGAATCTGAACATTCAAAATTACAGAAGGAAGTATCTCAGGTTCACCAGCAGATGGTGGAAATAGAAAATCATCTTCAGTCAGTGCAGAAAGAACGAGATGATATAGAAACACGCCTACAGGTATGGAAGGTGTTAAGCTTTGGACTTTGAGTGTTGCATCCAGGATATGTTACTGTTTCTATTAACTTTGGAAATAAACAGGATGACCACCTGAAAGTTAAGATTCTTGTTACATATTTAATATTGTCTATACATTTGAGCATATACCGGCCAAGATTCTGTAAATACTTGAATGCTTATTAGCATCTCCTGTACGTAAGTGGGGGAGCAGTAGAGGTGTGATGTGGCAGCTGTTTCCTTGGTCCCAGAATGAACTCCATCTGAGAACAAAGACCGACCCAGAACTCTGTTCATACATGTTATGGTGGTGGCCACAGAGGGAAGAGTTAAAGAAGAAATAAAAGGGAAAGGAGATGGAGAACCCTGGAACAGTTTATGTTTAGAGGTGGAAGTAATTTTGAAATTTCATGCTTATTCTTTTATAATCCAACATACAGCAAATGTGCTTTTGCTCTTACTGTCATGGGTGCTTTTTTTCTTCCTGTTAAGTCTTTGCAGTTCGATAAGGAACAAATGGCATCTCTTGCTGAGGCAAATCAGGCATTAAAACAACAAGTAGAACAAATGCAAGAAGAAGCAAAAAAGTAAGTGTTCTTTTAGCACAGATATAAGAACTGCAGCATTTGTTTTTCATATTCACCTTTTTAGCAATTACTCTTTTCCTATTCCCTAGTCTTTCATTTGGGAAATTTAAATAGTCAGAGAATCATAGAGGGTTATTGAGTCATATCCATGGCAAAGTGTTGGTTGCATGCTACACAGGAGTTGCAGCTTACCCTCTGATTCATTTACGCTTTTAACCAACAGTATGTGCCATACAGTGTACATATTGGAGGTAATCCTAATTACCATTTACTAAATTTTAGCCTTGACTGGCTAGAATATTGGCATTAGTGCGAAAGATTATTTCCTCCCCCCCACTGGTGATCTCAGGGTTTTATGATACCTGACATATCCACCAAGGATCACAAATTAGATTGCATTCTTACTTTAAATTCTGAGAAAGTAGTATAAATTCTCTCATATTGGAGTTTTAATAATTCTGACAAAGACCTCTTAATTACTCTAAGTATTTTCTTAGAATGTTATCAGGAGTCTTTAAGGTATTGTCTTGCAAAGGGCCAACTGTACCTTACCAACCTGATGGCTTTCTCTGTTGAGGTGGGTTACTGTGGGACAAGGGGAGAGAAATTTTTTGTTGATCCATGTGAAAAATTAATCTTTTAGCACTGTTTCCAGGCAGTTTCTGTTTTTTACCTGATGTTTCATTTTCCCTTTCACTCCAGGGCCATTACTGAGCAGAAACAGAAAATGAAGCGCCTGGGGTCAGATCTGACAAGTGCTCAGAAAGAGATGAAAGCAAAACATAAAGCCTATGAGAATGCAGTCGGCATTCTTAGTCGTCGGTTACAGGAATCTCTCACTGCAAAGGAATCTGCTGAAGCAGAGTTGAGCAAACTAAAAGCACAAATCACTGATGGTGGAAACAACCAGATTGCTCAAGTATGCAGATGGTTTTAACATTGTTAATACAAAGATAGAGCTATCTTGTTGTTCAATATAAGTCTTGAAATATTTCTTTACACTGAGGTGATGAAAATATTTGAATATAAAGCTAGATAAGAACATGGTATCAGTGTTCTGAGTACTGAGAATTTCCTTAACTACATTTAAGAGAGGTGATTTGGCAGGCTTTGGTTTGGTTGGTGCTTTTTATTTTAATTTTACTTGTATGTTTCAGATTACCAATTGTAATGCAAGCTCAGGGGGGGGATGATCAGCTTTAGTGCTAAATTTCCTGATTAATTTTTATTGTTAGCTTTTTGGTGGTGGTAGTGGTTTGTTTTTTGGGGGTGGTTTTTGTTTTTGGGTTTTTTTGAAAGGCTCAGTATCTGAAGATTTTCCAAAATTCTAACTCTTACCAGTTTTTTTTCTCATTGACAGTGAAAAGTTCTTCAGTAGCCATAACTTACTCATATATGTTATACCTGTAATAAGAAAATTAATTTAATGGGGAAAGCTCCACTTTCTTGGACCAATGGAGCAAGGTATCAAATATACTAACAGCAGTAGCTGGATGCAAGAGTGGAAAGCTCTAAGCAAGACCTTCACATTAAGCACTATCCTCACTTAGTATCTGCTAGAGAAGTAGGCATTTTAACAGAAACAAAATTACTTCTGTAAATGGGTGATACATTAATCACACTTGTGATCCCTTTGTCTTCAGGAAAGGATTCAAGCTCTGGAGACAGAATTGCAAGCTGTTAGCAGCAGTAAATTGATGCTGGAAAAAGAGTTGCAAGAAGTGATTTCACTTACCAGCCAGGAGCTTGAAGAATACAGAGAGAAAGTGCTGGAACTTGAGGATGAGGTGATACCTTGAATTTGCTTGTTAGATGGAAAGGTGACAGTAAAAAGTGCCTGAGAGGCAGGGAGAAATTCCAGTACCGTAGTTTTATGCCAACAGTGCAGGAAATCAGAATCTTACATAGGAAACATCATGTCAGTGACACTTGCTAATTTTGCTGCCCTGTGCTGGTTCTTCCTGGTTTCATGAATCATTGTCGTGTATGGGAAAAGAAGATGAGAGAGAAAAGTAGTTCCTGTATTAGATACCAGCTGTGTCTGGTCAGGAGATGGTGAGGATGCATGAATCATTATCTTTTGAAACTATCTGGAGTCACAGATGCTCAGTGATTTTTGAGGGTACGGTGGTGGTGTTCAGTTATGGAGTTGGACAAAGAAATTATATGTATCAACTACTTTTGATGGGCACCTGAACAGTAGTCCTGGATTTTGCTTTCTTAGTCTTCCAAAAGGAAAAAATACCTCCCTGAACTTATTTTGAAGTGTTCATTTAAAAAAGAAAGGAAAAAAAAATCCCACTCTGGGAAAGCAAGCTGTTTAATGAGTTTAGTTCACAACTTTTTTGTGGTAGTAATCTGGAGTTGTTTGGGTTTTGTTTGTTTGACTTCATTTTTTTCTTTGGCTTATAGCTTCAGGAATCTAGAGGCTTCAGGAGGAAGATAAAACGTTTAGAAGAAATTAATAAGAAGCTGGCCCTTGAACTGGAGCACGAACGTGGAAAACTTACAGGTCTTAGTCAGTCCAATGCTGCTTTGCGGGAGCATAACAATATCCTTGAAACAGCATTAGCAAAAAGAGAGGCGGACTTGGTACAACTGAATCTACAGGTATTTGATCTTTTGATATAATAACTTAAGAAAGGAATTAGCTCATATTTCTGATAACAGGATGTAGACATCTTCACTCATATGCTACAAAGTTGGTGCATTTTCTCCAGATCTGGGTTTCCAGTGTGTTGTGTAACAGCAGCAATATAGGAGGTTAAACTAGAGATCAGAAATGATTGTTTGCACTAAACAGGGCTGTTTCTTTTGGAAAGAAAACCAAATCACACTAAAATATTGACAATAGTGAAAGTGTGTCTCAAGTTATTTAGAACATACAAACTGTGTTACATATCAATTCATTGAGGTGAATGACTTTTATGTCACTAGTAATATATTTGTGGGGTAGAAGCAAATGGGAATACAGGCAATGAGCTACCATTTAACCAGAGCTACTCCGAAGGTTGAGGAAGGAGTTACCAGTGAACAGCAGAGAGAAGTTTTGCAATCCCTGCATTGCCTTGTGTTTTTATTTCCTATACTGGCATTTCTGTTCTTCCAATGAGCCCGTACAAACTGTCTGATTGTTTTTATGATATGATACAGGTTCAGGCAGTCCTAAAGCGGAAAGAGGAAGAGGATCAGCAAATGCAACAACTTATTCAAGCTTTACAGGCTTCCTTAGAGAAAGAAAAGTCAAAAGTTAAAGACCTTAAGAAGCAGGTAATGGCTTATCTTACAATGTAAAGTATTTGAAGAATATCTTGAAACAAAATCTATGCTTTATAACATACTGCTTCCAGCAGCATCTCTGACATGATGGCCAGTGGCTGAAAGATAAGTTGATGTCTTTTCTTTTGTGCTCTGTGTTAAGCATACTCATTGACTACCAGGAAAGTTCCATTATGACTTATAAAGCATGAGATATATCCTGAAGTGATGATACTTCATTGAAAAATACACAATGAAGAAGCAGTCTGGCACATTGGGCTTCTTCCATTATATATAGTTATTAACCACCATAAGAATAACAACACTAGTAAGTTTTTTTAGACAAAAAGAGAAGTGTTAACAGCTGCACAACTTCTTTCTTGATTTGTTTTGTACCCGTTTAGTCTCACTCCCTTTGATTCACCTACAGTGATAAAGAAAAACTTAATCCTTTTTTTTTTTTTTCCTTATAGGAAACAGCAGCTAAAGCAGATGCAGCACATAACCGCCGTCATTACAGAGCTGCTGTACTTGAACTCAGTGAAATCAAGAAAGAGCTACATGCCAAAGATCTGCTCGTCCAAGCCCTTCAGGTTGAAGTGGACAAGCTGCAGTAAGTAAATGTCCACATTCTTAGAGAATAGTAAATAAAACAAATCCTCTGAAAAAGCCATACATTAGTGAATTTTTGGGTTTGCCACTCTGGAGTGGATTTTGTTGAAATGTACCCCAGCTGAGCCTGACCATAAGATGCATGTTTGGACTCTAGGCAAATACTTGCATTTTTTTTGTCTCTTCATAATTCAGTTAGATCTGAAGTGCACTGTATTTAGACTTCCATCAGCTATTTTTACCGTTTCAACAGAGATTTCTACTATTTCATGTTACTGGTAAGGATTAACACATCACAAACATATCCTATTATTTTTCTCTCTTCCACATCCCTGAGGAACTATGTAGAGGATGAATTTGATTGTTGAATATATTCCACAATATATTTAAATTAATTTTGTTTTCTTGTACAGAACATGTTTTCTTAAATGACAAGAAATTATCAGACCTACATAAGAATGGATATAAGATTAACTCTATTCCTCATAAAACAAAAACAAAACTGCTGACAGGGTTTTGGGGTTTCTTTTTACTGCATAATCTATTGTTTGTAACTGGACTAATAGCAGTGCTCAGGGAAATTTTTTTTCCCCAATATTTAATTATATATTCATGCGTCTGTTTCATACAAAGTCTTTTTTGTGATTTAACTTTTGCTGTGAATGTGTCAAAGCTATAACTAACCAGATTCCATGCACTGTCATGTTATTTATGGTTACATAGCTAATCCAGTGGAGTTTTAAAGGATAGATTGAATAACTGCTGTGTCTGTTAATCTTGCTGTGCAGGGTAGAGGATGAAAAACATTCCCAGGAGGTATCACAGTTTCAGCAAGAACTGGCAGAAGCCAGGTCTCAGCTCCAACTTCTGCAGAAAAAGCTGGATGACAAGCTTACTGAACAGCCTGTAGTAAGCCAAGAGGTAAAAACTGCACATTTACTGTGTTTATCCTTATTTATGATGCATTGTATGACTTAATTTGTCTTTAATTCAGCATTTTTTAATGAAGTTTTGCTAGGTTTTCTTAGAACCAGGAAGGGCTCATGAAACATAATAATATATTTCAGATTTTGCAGTTGATTGTACCTATAGATAATCCTAAAGATAATTTGTTTGGGTTTTTTTCCTCCTCCTGGTAGGTGGAAGATCTCAAGTGGGAAGTAGAACGAAAAGAAAGAGAAATAGAAACACTTAAGCAGCAACTGGATATGAGTGAACAGCGCAGCCACAAGGAGTTAGAAGGGGTACAAGTTGTCTTGCAGGTATTTAATCTAGCCAGTGGAGATTCTGATGGATAACTGGTATTGCTGTAGGGGGATAATTAAAACAATATTTTAATTGTTTAAAAGCATACTTATACTGGTACTTTTTTGATACTCTCTATTAATAATATTCTATTTACAAACACCGATTCTCTATATGTTTTACTTTGACTGTTCTGTTAGCTGCTTATTTCCCTAACCATACACCATTAAAATAGGCTACTGATTTTTTTTTTTTTTTAAATCTGATTTCTGGTTTTGTGCCTGGGCAAATTGGTTTCAAATAGCAGTTATGTGTTGTTTCTTTTTTAGTTTTCCCTGGAAACTGAAAAAAAAAATTATTTGGTTGGAATCTTTATACCATTTCCCCATGCCACATTGATTCCCCTGTTTTCCCATTTAGAATATCAAGACTGAGTTGGAAATGGTGAGGGAAGACCTGTCAGTGACTCAGAAAGATAAGTTTATGCTGCAGGCTAAAGTAACTGAACTGAAGAACAGCATGAAGTCACTCCTGCAGCAGAACCAGCAACTGAAGTTGGACCTGAAGCATGGCAAGATGAAGAAGGTATTTAAATAGGAAGATGACATATAGTAGGGAACTGGAAAAAACTCCGCTATTGCTCTTTAATTTAAACTATGGGAAAATACTCTGCTGAAGAAGACCTGGTGAAAACTCTGAACTGAAATGCCTGCCTGTGATACAGACTTACTGATGTTCTGATATTGAAGTGATAAATATAGGAAGATGTGCAGGCAAATGTAACTGTACTGATCTTGACTTCCCACCTTTTACTTCAAAAATCTTTGTGTTTAGTGTATTATTGTACATTTACATTTTTACTTACAATAATAAAGCAGAAAAGGTAACAGATAATGACTCATGACCAAATATGGAGGTAATACCTTCTTATAGTTAATACCTTCTTAATGTTCATGTTTCTGTCCTCTCCATACTGTCTAGTTTTTCATCCTTACACAATTTCAAAACGTAACTATTAGTGGGTTCTTTGATTGTTCTGATTTGCTACTAATCCACAGATAATGCAGTAATAGTAGAACTGTTGCTTTTTCTGTCCCTGGAGTACTTCTCTTGCTTAGCAAGACAGAATTTTGTATGGAAGCCTCCATTTCATTCTTTTAGATATTGGTTCTGATAGCTCATCCTGCAGGTTCCAAAATTTCCAGAAGGATTTATTTGATTGTACTTAACTGATTGCATTTTTTTCCTGAATTGTTCTTAATTATACTGGAAGAATGTTACTAAAAATTATTGTGAAGATTCAAGTCATTTGCTTTAAATTCTTCCTAGTTTATTTCTTGAGTAGGTCCTTCTAGATGCTCTTTGTTTACTTATGAGCATGGCTAGCAGATGACATTAGGTTAGGAACTTTTGTTTGTGACCCGCGAGATTTAACATGGATGTGCTTCTGATTCCTGGTCTATAATGCAGATATGTACCAGTAGTGTGATGTGAGACTCTAAATGACATTGATGAAATAACTTAATTTTATTTCTGGTTCCTCTTTTTTTCCTTTATCCAGAGGAAGGAACTGAAAGGAGAGAATAACTCTTCAAATCCTGTGACTCCAGTCAAGATTCCTGATTGTCCAGTGCCTGCTGCCTTGCTGGAAGAACTGTTGAAACCATCGACAGCTGTGAGCAAGGAGCCTTTAAAAAATCTGAACAGTTGTCTTCGGCAATTAAAGTATGACTTGTTATTTTCAACCATATTAAATAATCTTAAAAATGTTCCCAGGAAACCAGCTGCCAGCCTAAGGAAAAAAAGATTTGCAAAATGAATTCTTTTCCTCTTATTTGGACTATGTTTAGGACAGTAGGATGTTCTGTCATTGTAACTGCTTGCTTACATGGTAATGAAATAGAGAAAGAAGCCTTTACAATAAACTAGACAAAATGTCCGTCCTAAATCGTACACAGCAGAACAAACCAGAAACAGCTATTTCTAGTTGTTCTTGCTGGTGGAAAAGCTGGTGTTTCTCTCTTCACAGCATCAGAAAGGCTGCTTGTGATAGGAGCCCAGGCAGTGTGTTAATAAGAAATCTCTACAGAGGAAGTTCATTCTGCCAAAAATATGTTTTCAGATATTCCCTTACAAGGTTGCAGATGGAATTCTGAGCAGGAAAGCTACAACTTCAGGAAGACAGAGAGTTTGGGTTAGTAGGAGAACTGAGCTGCTATTGCCACCTCAGTTGATATTTGCGGGGAGTGAGCCTGTACTACCAGACTACTCACTTTGCTAAGTTAGTATCTGACTAAAGTCATAATGTGTTTATCTGGTTATTTTCCTGTGCTGCTTTCCTCACCTCTACCTCCTATGTTGTCTTTTATACCTGCAAGAGTACCACACTCATCAGGTTGCAGTCACTAAGTGCTTTTACGGAGGAAACAGTGTTGCATCATCCCTGCTAATGAGTATGTGCAGCAAAGGAGCTGCTGCATTGTTGGCCCTTATTTTTTAATTAAGCATATTGTATTTGTTTTGCTCATAAATTAAAAAAAGACAATTCCTAAGCTTCCTGTAGACTTCTTTCTCTTATATACAGCTATAGCTCAGATTGTCTTGGATCTTGCATTTAGCAGTTAGCTTTCTGCTTGTTAATTTTTGCATTTTGTTCTCAATACTTTCAAAAGGCAAGAAATGGACAGCCTTCAGCGTCAGATGGAAGAACACACCATTACAGTACATGAATCAATGTCTTCGTGGACTCAGATTGAGGGGCAGCTAATGGACCTTAAATCTACCAGTCCTGCAACTGCATCAGACCAACAGGAGATTCCTACTATAGATGAAAAGAAACAGAACTGTAGTGCTAGTGACAAGGAAGCTTTGACACTATAACCTCCTTATCAGTTGTCTTTATTGCTTTACGTATGTAAACAAATCTTTATCAAAATTATTTATTTCATTTTTTAAAATGGTGTTCAGAGTTGTGCTTTTGCCTGTAGAAGCAAAGGGCATGATTTTGAGAAACTGGTGTAATATTAAATACAGAATATGCTATTTCAAAGGTTTCTTTGAAACCTTACCATAACGATTCTGTCATGTTGGGGACTGCCAGGTGGTCAATCTAGCTCATTTGGGGGTTTAGTAAGAGATTCAGATGAAGGTTTAGAACGAGGTCAAGAGGAGCCTCTGATTCCAGGTCTGTATTTGTTCAACCTGGATGAGTTTGTTAACTCACTGTTAATGACTGTTAATTATATAACATCTGGGGCTTGGTGTTTTCTTTAATTGGGAGGGAGGGGCAGTGTGGTGTTTTTCCCCATCTTGGGTTGTATCCAAGTCACAGGGAATAATAAATTCTGCTCATGTTCAGCATTAGCAGTGGTTGAGAACTGAATGTTCTGAGCATGCTCTCCTCCCTCCTGTAATCTCTTATTCTTGAAATTGAGATTACAGATATCTGTATTTAAAGAAAAAATTTTCGTTTGAAGCCATTTCTAGTTATGAAGATGACCTCTGACCTATAGCAAAAGAAACAAGATTGTAAAGACAAGCAATGCAGACCACTGTGTATCTTTGGCAGATTTGCCTGGGATGTTTTCTGAAGTTATCAGTTTTTTTCTTACAGTCGCAGGCCAGTAGGGAGCTTTGCTTCACTGCACAAACACTTCTTGCACCTTTTTAGTTCAACTTTTGAAGTAGACACCCTTGAAAAAGGTATGAGTGTAATATATATATATATAAGAAAAAAAATCATAATTTTCTGACTTTGAATATCTGTTTTAATATGCTTATATATTGTAAGTTAAGGCTGACATGAGGGTTTTTGTTACTGTCATCGTTTTAATGTTACATTTAAGTTTGCTGGTTTTTGACATACTGTACAAATGGCTTAGGGAAATTAGCCCCTAAAGCCAGAGCTTTTAGAAATGTAATTATTTTTACTTTAAAAGACAAAATTATAATGCCTATAAAGTTACTATTTTTATTAGCTTTATCTTGTTACACACGCTTCGCCTACTTTTTGCACCCTCTATTACAAGGTGTCCACTGTGAATGGAAATGTTGGTACTGTGGCAGCCCCTCTGCAGAGCACCTTGACTAGATTATTATTATTACAGCAGCCCAATTTAGATACCTTTATCTCTGGTCCTGTTGCTCCATGAGGCTTGTAGTGCAGCGATAAGCCCGCCCTCTCATTCAAAAATTCAGTGTGGAAGTACTGCTTTGCCTAACAAGCTTAGTGCTAAAGCACAGATCAAAATATATGTGACAGATTATTTGGAAGATTTAGTGGCCACTCATGTACTAGCATGTTTTTGTCTTTAAAACATAAAGAAAACAGGTCAAATACATCCACTATATTTAGGCATTTAAAAAAAAAAAAAAACAAAAAGAAAAAAAAAAACAGTCTAATAAGTACAAGTAGATTAACTGGCTGAGGAAAAAAATGAAAGTTCTTGTTCATGTATTTTTTCCAAAGAGATTGTTGCTGCTTTTGTGTGGGTTTGGTTGTTTAGGGGGGAAAATGATTGTAGCTTGCTTAGCAGTAAGGCAAAAAATAAGCAAACAAACAAAAAACCTAAACCCGCCCATATTTATCCAAAGTCTTATTTCTCATATTTACCAATTCAAGCTCTAGTCCAGTTGAATATTTTGCACTTAGAGTGTCTATACTGACTGATTTCATGCCCCTCAGCTGCTGGATTTTACCTTAGATTTTATTGGGATCAAAGTCAAGTGATGCTAAAAGTCAAGGCTTTGAAACTGGTGAAGGAAGAAATGCATTGGCATGGCATTAGGTGCCCATCATACAAAATTACCAAATAATTCAAAGAAGAGCCAAAAGCTTTACAGACTAGCTTAGACATGTTAATGCCTGCATACTGCTGCAGTCTATTTTGCGGAGTAAATGGTACTGACTATCTCGCTGCTGTCCTGTTCTTGAAGTTGCCTGTGTATATCAAACGTTCAGGATTTTAATAACACGTGTGCAGCATTAAACAGTGTTGCTGTTCATTTTAGTAAATACACTGACTACGGTTAAGAATCTGTTATGTTTTAATCTCTTAAATTTGGCAACAGTTATATGGATAAAGTCTTTATCTGGTATCAGAGAAGTCAGGATTGTTAGAAACCTTCATAGTTCTTCAGAATGTCTGCTCTCCTTTTTATATCCGTAATCATACTGCAGTCTGTTTTCAGTGCAGTGCTGCCTTTTTTCTCACTAGCTCCTTATAAAGACATCTGAGCTTATACAATCAAGTAGTCTTAGATGCATGTTTTTTCTTTTAAAGATGAGGGAGCTGTTGTGAAGTGCTCAGATAAGATTTCTGTATTGACCCACCTGTGTCTCTGAAAGTACCTGGACACAAGGTATTTTCATTTTTATATTCACCATGTGTTTTTTCTATAACTAGAAGTACCATGCCACTTACTGAAATGAAGAACAGACAGTGAGACTTGAGGGACTAAATCTGGCGAGGCCTTAAATCAATTAAGTTAACAGAAGTCACTGGGAAGCTTTCTAGAAGGAGCACACAGCATGTGATAAAATCAAGGCCTTTTCTTTGAAGCTCATCAGCTATGTTTCTTAATTATCCAGCGAAATAGTTACTGTTTTATGAAAAAGCCTCACCCTGAGGCTGAGCATGCTCGCTCTACAAAGCTTCAGGTCTCTGCTATCTAGGCAATAAAACAAACTAGTTGTAGGAATGAAAACTGCCTCCCCTCTGCCTCTCACAGCACTGCCAAACACATCAGAGGAAAACCTGAAGAATAATCCCTTAGTTTTTTTTCTTTTCCTTTTTCAAGCACTGCAATAGAATATATTTCCTTGTCTGTTCCTTCAGTGGTTGCTATGTACTAAACCAAGTCTTGTTGATGGAAAGAGAAATGTCACTGTAGTATGAGAATGTTTCTCAAGTGATGAAAGTTGGTAAATGCTGCAGCATTACTTTTTCAGATGCTGTTGGGTTTTTGAGGACTTTTAAATAATTGTGCATTTGAAAAAAAACAAACAAAATCCACAACAAAAAAACAGCAAACCCTACGGTGGAAAAAAAATGTTAGTTACTGAGTCTCTGGTGTTGCTGAATATTGCATAATGCTCCATTCTATTGTCTTCCAGATTTCTTGGAAATATCTGTGCACTGTATTGGGATCAGCTGAGCCCCTTATGCACTCAGGCAATGGGAGGATCTGATCCCATACTGTTCAGGCAATATCCTAGCTGAAATCTATGAGAATTTCATGTATGTGGAGTAATATCCAGAATGGAAGTTCTAGTGCTTATATTTTCATGGATTACTATTCCTCCTTAGGGGAGTGAACTACAGTGGCATGGGTGTTTTAATGTTAGCTATGACAACATTAAAGGTGTACTGGGGACAGATAGTATTATCAGTATAAATTTAATTTAAAGATGACAAGTTCACTACTGGTGATGCAAAACTTGTATGTTGTATTAACTTTGCCAGGAAAGTGTGAATAGTCGCATGTGTCTTGCTGTAACCAGAGCCTTTAATTATTTTCATGTGAAAGCAGTTACAGTCCAAAGTAATTACTAATGCTCATCAGCTGTCCTCTGATCTATCTTGTCTCCTACTGATGTGTAACACTTCAGTCTTGGGCAGTAGGGCAGCCTAATTTCCAATAACGATGCACAGATTTCTAGGGGAGGGGAAAGATGTTCTGGCTATTATAAATGAAACATTGTTATGTTTTCTACATGACATTTGGTAATGTCTGCTTAGGCTGTATTTGTAAAGATAGAAGTTAATTATTTCATGTTCTTGAGTGGGTAACCCAGGGGATGAAGGAGTTACACTATGTACAATTAATGTTTATGATCATACAAAGCATGTCGATTATAAAAATAATGTGCATAGGAATTCCTTTAAAAGTTTTGTGCAATAAACTATTTTTGGTAAAGGGCTCCATGTTGTTTCTACTTTTAAAGAGGAATTAATACCACCTTTTTGACTTTAGACGGTAATTATGTTTAGGATTCGGAACATGATGTATAGCCACCTTTAAGAAAAAAAACACTTTATTTTGAAAGACTACGATATTAGATATTGTTTTTTTCACTCTTCTTTTCACAGATTTAAAGTTGATTGTGCTTTTATTTCCATTATATTTTTTTTTTCAGTTTGCTGAACATGTCAGGAAAGAAACGCAATGACTGTATCTCTCTTGGCCTGAATTTGCCAACATCTAAAGTTTGAGTGTATAAAATGGAACAATGCAGAAATGTCATCCCTATTCTAAATTAGCCAAGTGCAAGGCTGAGGAAAGAAATGACTGCACCATGCTCGTAATATTAAACAGTGTGAGCTAAAGGGATGTTGTCTACTTCTTGAAGGCCTTCCATTTTGTCTCATCATTTAAACCAGTAACTGATGGTTTTGCTGATAGGACGAGTATCTGTACCCGACAAATGCTGATGATGTGACTAAGGGGAGGGCCAGGTTAGATCTGTGAGCAGACTCCTTTCGTCCCGACACAGCAGGGCCGTCCTCCGTCACGGTTCGCCATCTTAACTACCGCAGCGGTTTGAGTTTGAGCTTTCTGAAGTACCGTGCTCACAGCACCTACCCTTTTCCTGCCTTGAGACTAGAAGCTGTGAATCTCGATGAAGACTGTAAGTTGTACACAGACGTCGCTGCACGTTTTTGCGTCCCCTGGGTGCAGCCTCAGCCGCGAGGCCTGACCCCCCACCTCCCACCGCTGCTTTTTTCCGTCAGGCGGCCGCGCGGGCAGCCCCGGCGTCTCGCGGGAAGGGGGCCGGGCGGGGCGGGGCGGGAGAGGCGGAAGCCGCCGCGGCGCTGAGGTACCGTCCCCGCAGGGCGGGCGGGCCGCGGGCCGGGCATGGAGCGCTGGGTCGGGGAGGCCGGGGACTGGGGCTCCCTCGGGGGAGCCGGCTGGGGCCGTTGGCTGGGCTGGGAGCTCTTGGCCGCCTGCGCGGTCATCGGCGCCGTGGGCTGGCTGCTGCGGCTGCTGGAGAGGAGGCCGGGCGGCCGCGGGGCGCCGGCGGCGGCCATCTCCTCCTCCCCGGCGCCGCTCTCCGCGCGGAGCCGGCGCTGCAGCGGGAGCCGCCCAGGTGAGAGACTCGGGGAGTGGGGGGGGGGCGGCCACCGCCTCTCACCCTGCGGGAGGGCCGGCCGGGCAGCGGGCACCGCCCGGGAAGGCCTGCGGCCGCCCGGCCCCCCGCCCGCCTGCCCGCGCGGCCTCTGGGCTCCTGGCCCGCGAGCGGAGCTCGGCGGCGCCCCGGTCCCCCGCGTGTGCCCCCCCACCCCGGTTCTGCCCCGCGGGTGGCCGCCGCCCGCTCCGCCCTCCTCACGGGTCCCCGCTCTTGCCTTCTGCTGCCCGAACCCGCTCCCGCACCCAGCCTGCCGTCCCTTTCTGCGGCTGGCAGTACACGGTCATTTCTCCTTCCTGAGAAATCCTTTTCCCCCTCCCCTCTTCCACTCCGGGCTTACCCCTACCTCATTCCAAGTTTGTTTTGCAGTTCTTTTGCTGCCATGTAGTTTGTTAGCTAATTTGGCAACAGGCAGTATAAACTAAATACCTGATTGCACAGCCACAGTTATTTTGCCGTGTGCAAATCCTAGCAGCCAGAATATAGCCAAAGACAGGATATGTCTCTCACTTAATTTTTGCCACGAAAAAAAAAAAAGTCTGTTTTTTTGCATTGCTTATTTACTGATGCGTGTAATGAACAGCGGACTAAAATAATATTGCTGTCCTTAAAAGTCATTCATTTGTTCTGTCTTCGTACTAGTCTTCATTTTTTTGGAAATAGTTTCTGCTGTTTCATACTGATGCAGTAAGACAAGGTAAAATAGAACTCTTATTCTGGATTTTGTTTGTTTTGCAAGAAGCCTTGAACGTTTATTTGCTGTTGCTACAGTAGTTGTTCATACTTATAAAGCCATTAGAATTAACTTGCAAGACCTTGTTTGCTAAACTAGAAAAAGTAGCTGTGTTAGTGCAGGCTGTACTCTCGATCATTTGAAGTAACATAAAATGCATTTTAAGGTTCTAATAATTACCTTTTGCACCTGCACGTAGCAGATGATTGAAGGATTATCTTAAAACAGGCAGTTGCTATTTCTCAGGTTTGCAAGTCACACCTATTGTTCTGGACAGATCAAAATAGGTGATTCTGTTAACAAATAGTAAACGCTTATCCATGTTAGCTGAAAGCTTAATGTCAGAACACAAACGTATTTCATGGAAGTTCTACATTGTCAAACCTATGTTTTTCCTGTTTCTACAGCGAGTTTATTGTAGAAAACTATTTGTGGTAACAGTTGGTCTTAAACCAAAGATTAGGTTCTTCACCATTGGTCTGCTTTGTCATTTCATTCTCATTTAGTTGTGTCTGAGTTGTAATAGACACATTAAATAAATACTTACATAGATGAGGAAGAAAATTTTAGGCATTGAGTTCTATCAGAACATGAGATACGAGAGAAATCACTCCTTTGTGACATTTTGTACTTAACCACACACCAAGAAGAAAGATTTTGTGTGTGCCTGCATACTCCACGTACATGAATTGCACGTGTCAGGGTCTGCTCTTCTGCAGAATGATTGTGCTTATTCCAACCCTAAAAATAGGAGCATTTTCTGAGTTCATTCTTTAAGGCATTATAATACATTGACTCTTAAAGAATTTTCATTGAGTTGTTTCTGCAATAAATGTTCTGACCTTTGGTTTTCCATATTGTATTTTTTCAGTTATGCAATCTCAAAAAGAAAATCTTTAGAATAGCAAGTTTTGATATTCTTATAATTGACCTCAGTACCACATTTTATCCCTTGATTAAAACATAATGGCACCAGTTTTATTTTTAAAAAGTAGAGGATTAAGAATCAAAAATAAGTGAGAGGATCCTTCACATTTGTCTTTACTGTCTTGTGGGCAAGTCATGTAATTGTAACGGTGAGATTGCTTGGTGGTTTGGGAATCAGAACTAGAATACTTTGGGGAGGTAGCTCATCAGCACCAACTGTGGCTTTGCCAGTTTGTTTTGGGGCTTTTTTTAAGCTGAAATACTCATTTCCCATCATTTCAGTGAGGTTCTAGTTAATATTTGTGAAATAGTCAGGGACTGAGGTATGTTCTCTAACCACATGATATTTAAAATCAGACATCAAAAAAAAACCAAACCAAAACAAACAAATTCTTAAAGGAAATGGCCCTCCAAGCAAACAATCCTCAAACTTATGTAACTTTCAAGTTGTAATAATACTTGAAAACCTACTTAAAGTTTGGCATTAACATCTTTTCAAGTTCCAGTGAAAATTTTACTTGGCTATATTGACTGTTGCTAAAAGTTACAAAAACTTCTGCGTGCATTTGGGGTTTTTTAATACATGAAAAGTTTGGTTCTTTACCATCTTAATCCTTGAGTAATTGAAGAAGCAAAATTGTCATGGTGATTTTGTTGATGTTTTTTGTGGTGCTACTGTTGGCAATACAGGTGGAAAGTAGAAAAATAAGGGAGTTTGATTATGCTTCAAGTCTAGGATGAGGATGCAATTTTGGAATTACTTGTGAGTTTGTACACTGACAAAATGGGTAATTAGCTTGTGAGGATCCACTATTTAGAACATTGCATCCCTGCTGTATTAGGGTGCGGCCACTCACGGTTCAAGCCTCATATTGCTTTCCCAGACAAAGGTTCTTGCCTAGCAGAGTGGATGTTCTGACTAATTTTAAGGGCTGCTTGTGCACCCTGTTCATAAAGTTAGAGAGCTCATAAAGCAAGAGAGCTCATAAATTGTGGACATGTCTCATACTGCTATGTGTGTCCACAAATGCACTTTTGAGGAGACTTACCTTAAAATTACAGATGATACTGATTTCATACCTGGCATATTGCTTTGTCTCTAAGGGAGTAAGATTAGGAGTTGTTATTTCAAATATAACATGATTTTAAAAATATAAATCAATTCACGTGGAACAGCTGCAAATGTCTGTTCCGGTAGTCTTAAGTTTCACAAACTGAGGATGAAGCCTGGATTTGAAAATAAAAGTGCAAAAAATGCCATACACACCTATGCAAACCAGTATAACCCATAAAATGGCTAGGTGGCAAAGAAAGGGTCAATTTAAGGAGGTAGTGAAAGCAGCTGAAGGAATACACCACCTGATCATTTCTATCCTAAAGCTGTTCTTTCTGACTAGTGTACAGCAGGAAAAAGTCACAACCTTTGAGAAGATACATGGATGCAGTATCTGATGAAATAATTGTAAAGCTTCTTGTATTCTTAAGCTGCCCAAATCCTGTGGTTTTCACAGCAAGAAATTTGTATTGGCATCGTGTTGGTTTTAGTATCTGACCAGTGCAGAAGCTGTAAGTGTGTGGATTACATGGAGGAAAGTGATCTAGGGGACTTGCAGTGTCATATCAGAGAGAAGGATTTTCCTTTGGAAATGGAGAAATTCTTCCAGCTCACGCTCTTTGTCAAAGACGGAAATCTGAAAAGATCAGCTGTTCTTGTCTTCTGGCTGTTTGCTCTCAAAACGGGGGCTGGGAAACAACATGTGTAAATAGTTCCAGCCTTGTGTCATGGCCAGAGATAGCCTCCCCCAGTTGCTGCATCATACTTAATGCCTTATACTTTTGTCAGCTAGAAATTCTTATGGAAATAATAGAAATTAGCTTTTAGCTGTAGGTGCTGCCTAACCAGAAACTCTTACTGGGTTTTAACTAGTCATCGTGTTCTTGTATTCCATTGCATACACAGATTATGCCTTGGCAGTAAACAAATATTTCTCAGCCTGTCATAAATTTTCATTCATAAATATTGTGGATTGAATTTTCACTCCAAAAGAAATTTGAAAAGGGCAAACAAAAATAAAATGTAAAGCTGTAAATACTCTTTCAAGTAGTTGTGAGAGAAGAGGAATAAACTCTTGATATAAGTCTCATAGCTTAAAAATGTTTTAAACATTTTTAGTTGAAAAATACTTTGTCTTCTCTGGAACTGCGATAATCCCTTCAGAATTTGAATATTTGTTACGAGACACTCTTTTCCTTGGCTTTAATACAGCGTTTATGTAGCAGAAAAAAGAAGTGGTGTTCTTTTACAGTTTATCTCCTTTCTTTTTTGTCTTTCCTATAGGTGAAATAACAATGGATGCAATATTATCCCGATTGAAGCAGCTCACCCCTGATGAGCTTAGAGAAGAAATTATAAGAGCAGGATTGAAATGTGGTCCCATTACGTCAACTACAAGGTTTATTTTTGAAAAAAAATTGGCTCAGGCGCTGTTGGAGCAGCAAGGAGCACTGGAGGAAAAAGGATCTGCTCTGTCAGGGGAGGCTGCTGGAAATGTCCAGTCTAATAGCAGCCAGGCAGAAGCACAAAAGGCTTTGAAAACTGTTGCAGTGAATCACAACGGTCACGGAAGTGTTTCAGAAGAGGTAGACTTTGGGTACTGTGTAGGTCTGAACCCTCCAGAAGAAGATGTCGTGATGCACATGAACTGTTCAGCTCCAGTCTGTGGAGCAGGATGTGTTGATTCACAAATTAGTACCCAGACGCGGTCCAGAGATCCTCCACTGTTCTATGGTGTTTGTCCAGTTTATGATGACATATTGGCAAGGAATGGTAAATATTCATTTCCTTTCCTTCTGATGCTAAGCATTTTACAATTGTGTCTAAATAGGCCTTTTTCTACATAGCAGGTCATACAAACATTACTGTATTAGAACCTTAAGAATTGCTTGAAGTATTTTTTTGTTTCTGTAAATAGTATTTACTGGATCTTCAGAGGAATAGAAACACAGTTATAAGACCTCTCAGGTGTTTCCTACTGCTACTCTCATACCCATCCTGTCCCTTTAATCCCTCTCAAGAATAAAAAGTAATCCTACAAATAAACAATCAAAAAACTGTTTATACTGCCATCAGTTGAAGCTTAAATGATCTCTTCTAACAGATTTCATATTTTCCTTTCTATCTTAATGCCAAATGGTATCTAGATGCATCAGTCATTCTTTGCATTTTATTGAATACTGCAATAAGGAATTACTAAATTACCTAGTGGCAAGATTATAGTAGTGCATAAATGATTGTTTACTCTGAGACAGTAGTAAGTATTCTTTCTCATAAAAAGGATATTCACATATTTTAATTTGAACAAATTAACGTTAATGCAAAAGGAGAGGAAGGTGAAGGATTCGGTTAATATCTAAGGTTCTGTGTCACAGTCTTAAAATTGACAGTGGATTGTTTATATAGTTGATCTTTCTGAACAAGAGAACATGGAAAGTAATGCAGGATGAGTAAGCCCTGAGTTTGCTTTTCAGTCTGGATGTGAAATACTTGCTTGTTGAAGCTGGCCTGTCTGTTAAAACAGATGTTCAGGTACTGATTGGTAGGAATGACCAAACACTGTACACATATCGCCTGATGTTAGCTGGAGCATGTCAAATTCTTCTACTCCATTTCTGAGAGAGAAAATTTAAAAGGACTTTTGATTCTTATGCCATGTTTGGAAGATAAATGGTTTGAAACTAAAACTGGAAGGATAGTGTGAGAATTTTGTAACCTGTTTCTGGGAACAAATCTGAGAATATTAAAGTAACTTAACTTTGATTGTACTTTGTTGCAGAGAGAATACATGTTTATGAAGATAAAAAGGAAGCTCTCCAAGCTGTTAAGATGATTAAGGGTTCCCGTTTTAAAGCTTTTTCAAACAGAGAAGATGCTGAGAAATTTGCTAAGGGAATCTGTGATTATTTCCCATCTCCAAGCAAGTCCTCTTTATGTTTGTCTCCAGTGAAAATGGGATCATTTAACAGAGGTAAGTAAAGGTGTTCATCTGTGTACAGTAAATGCAATATACAGTTTGTTAATTTTTTATGAGAGAAGTAGCAACAACTTCATAACCAATATACTAATAACAGAAAAAATTTCAAAGGGTGAAGTATCTTAATAAATTGAACTCCCTTTAGAGTGGTGGTGTTTAAGATAAACGGTAAACAAATGTTAGATCACAGCTTCAGACCTTGCTTACCAAATAAAATTACTGTATAAATAGATAAGTCAACTAGTATTTAATTACATTTTTCTGTGGAATAAATTAGAAATGGGCAATGAAAAGCATATTTTATTTTTTTAATTCAAATCTGGTTTTACTTCTGTATAAAATGATACTGCCACTGGAGAAAGTCATCCTTAATTGATGTTTTTCCAAGAAAGGGCCACCAAAGTTTACGTACAGAAATAAAAATGAAGTAGGCTATGTTGGAATCCTGTCATTTCTTTTGTAAAGAACTATCACAGAAGTAAATTAGAGCTCCAGGAATCTGTGGAAAGACTGCTTTTTGTGTTTTAAAGCACAAAGGTTTGGCCTTCAATATATGGTTTCTATGGTCTGTGCTATGATAAAGTAAACTGGTGACTTTTAAAAGCAACTCTTGTTCTGGTTTGCATGAATGTTATACCAGAAAATGCTGCTATTCTAAAGCTGAAATGCTGATAATAGCCTGCATAGATATGGTGCTTAGTAGTCCGTAGTTATATCTGGTAGGATTTGATTTTACTCATGGATTTCAGGATTTTCAGGTTTAATAAGATGCTAATAAAATTGCACAGTATATTAAAACTGTACTTAGTTGTTAAGTATGTTTGGAAGTTCGGAAATAAACTGGTAAACTCTGATTACATTTCAGAGTTCCCAGTTGCTAGGTTAAAGGGACTCAGTAGTCACAGAACTGCAAAAGCAGAAGAAAATTCTTTCTTGTTGAATTTTGGTTTTAAGTTTGGATGGAAGCAGATTGGTAATTATGACATTTACCAGTCCCTCTTAAAGTCTGAAACAGTTTCACGAGATGATTAAGTCATAGTTCTCCCTCCCTATTACTAACTACTAGTATTTTTAAATGTCTTGTCATTGACCTCAGTTCTTTTACTCCTGTACATTAAAGATGCAAAGTCAATATGTATTTTTGCTTAAAAGCTTATTTTCATGGTCTGGTGTGAAAATAGTGGTCACTGGAAAGAATGCATCTAGAAAGATGTTACTTGTGTTTTGATAGATGGCTTATGCTCCCCTGAGAACGAAACTGCTAATAAGGAGAGAGCCAACAGTTATAAAAGTCCGCGTACTCAAGATCTTACTGCTAAACTTCGAAAAGCTGTCGAGAAAGGAGATACAGCAACATTTTCAGAACTCATTTGGAGTAACCCTCGCTATCTGATTGGATCGGGAGACAATCCAACAGTTGTACAGGTGAAAAAAAAAAAAAAAAAAAATCATCCAAGTTCTAGTTTGTTAATTTAGCTTTGACACCTGGTAAGCAGAATTGGAAGGAGTGTTGTTTCCTATTCTTCCTTCAAATTATCTTCTTTCCACCAGTGCAGTGTTTCTCAGTGTTTATTGATATTAGCTGAAAGGAAAGAGAAACGTGGCAGTCATCTGTCATGTGTAAGTCACCCATCATAACTGAGAGTTTGCTTTGCTGCAGAAGAGCTGCAGTAAAGTAAGTGAGTATGCCGTTCTTTAGGGAAAGAATAATTTTATCCAGTAATGAAAGAATAGTCTTGTCTTCATACAGTATTGATCTCCTCCAAATTATTCCAATCATTTTAAAATAAAATTATTTTAAAGAACGGGATAGTGCCTCGGCTGTACCTAGGTGTGCCTAAGCACTGCTTACCTAGGCACCACCATTAAATTTCAAAACACGCACGGCATCCAAAATCCACGCGTAAGGTACCGTTTAGTAGACACTGACAATCTTACTTTAACAAATGACTTCTTTCAGACCAGCTGTGTGAAGTTGTTGAAATTTTGTATGTAATGCATTATAGCAAACTGATTTTCCAGCTCTTTTCATACAATGAACTTCCTATCTTCTTTTAGTATGTAATATCTTAATATACCTTCTTTGCCACATTTTTGATCTTTTTGTAAAAAAAGACTATAGCTGAGTATAGGAAGAATGTTGTTAATGGTAAGAATAATGTGGGTATAAAGTTGCATAAGTCTTTTTACTATATCATACAATTTAATGCACTTTTGAATGCTTATGTACTGTTTCGTAAACGTCTTTTCCTAAAAATATTACGAAACACATAAATAAAAGACTCTTTATTTTCACTATTAAATCAATTTAGTGTATGGATGTAAGAAAGCTGTTTAGATTTCAGTTCATTCTAATGTTTGCCTTTTTTTTCAGGAAGGGTGTAGGTACAATGTCATGCATGTTGCTGCCAAGGAGAACCAACCTGGTATTTGTCAGTTATTACTGGACACTTTGGAAAATCCTGAATTTATGCGCCTTATGTATCCAGACGATAATGATACAATGTTGAAGAATCGCATCCAATATATTGTTGACCTTTACCTTAATACACCAGATAAAATGGTAAGATTTGAATGTTTGCCAGCTTATTATTATTATTATTATGGAAACAATTGGAAGGCGCTAAGGATATATAAGGGGGAATAAAAGAGAACAGAAGGGGACACTTCTAGCAGTTCATCAGTTTAGTGGGTTTTAATAATCATCATTCTACAGTATGGTGGGAAAAGATCTATTAAGAGCCCTGATAATTAGTCATGACACTTACTAACTTTTCCCATTCTCAGAATAAACTATGTGCAATTGACTTTATCATGTTTCCAAATGCATGCAAATTTTGCCTTTTTCACACTGCAGGGATTTGATACTCCATTGCATTTTGCCTGCAAGTTTGGGAATTTGGATGTTGTTAATGTGCTTACCTCACACCCAGCTATTGTAAAAAATCCAAGAAACAAATATGATCAAACTCCAGCAGAAGTAAGTCTCTCCACATCCACAACAAAACCAAAAATGTATGCCTAATAAGTATTTTTCAAGTTCAAGCATTTGCTAACTACTGTAGATAGAAGGCTAGTAAGTTACTAGTGTCATGATTAGAGTGTAAATCTTTGGTAACATCAAAAATATCTTATGTTGATTGTATCTGGGGAAAAGTTCTAGATTTTATGATTAACTGCATTTTCTTTAGAGCATCCATTTTACGGATGTGTATGTATCCTAGTGGTCTGCTCTGCTATGAATTAAAAGTACTGGATGAGCTGTGTAGGGGCCAATAATGTAACTATTCAAAAAGAACACACATTGCAGTTGATTTGAGATTGATATCTTATGCTTTACTAACAAACGACTAAAATTATATTAACAGGTAGTTTGTGAAAGAAGCAAGAATAAATCTGCAGAATTGAAAGAAAAACTAAGAGAGTACTTGAAAGGTCTGTATTCAGAGTTTTGTACAACAGCAGGCATGTATTTTGGGTCTTTGCTTCCATTCTGTTGGCTTTCTGTAGCATTCCTGTTCATAAGTGATGCTACTGTACAGTGCTGTGAAAACCAAATAGAAACTCTAAAACTGGCAAGGAACAGAAAACTTTTTGTGTTTTAAATTACATGGTCAGAACTCTTACTGTTTGGATCACAAGGTTATCCTTATAGCTCTGTTACGTAGGCATGGCCCTTATTTTATTTAGAGCCTGAAACAGAAGGTTTAATCTGAAAGCAAACAAAAGAGCTTTACAGAGCAAGAGATTTATTTGTCACGCTGGGGAGTCATGCAATTTCTTTGACATAGAACTTTTCACTGTTTCGTCACGTGGGTTTAGGCATGTGCAAAAGAAGGTTTAGAAATTTGTTGAAGATTCTTAGGGAAGGAATATATGTATCAATGCAGGTATTTTTACATTTGAGAGAGAAGGGAGCCTGTACTAAAATATAATCTGTAAGCAGGCAATAAATATTGAAACAGTGAGTTTTGAATTACAAGTAGTTTTACTAATGAAATAAAGTCAGATGGTGAAGTATGTGGGTGTATTGATATTCTAGGAAGCAGCAGCAGGCTAATGTAACATAAACTTCTTAAGAAAGCTTTGTATTATTTATTTTAGGTCGATACTATGTACCACTCTTGAGAGCAGAAGACAATTCCTCAGCTCCTGTAATTGGTGCACCGTGGTCACCCGATCAGACAGATGATAGCCCCCAAAGAAGTTTATCTAAATACGCTGGCAACCCCAAAGATCCGGTGTTGTCGATAAGAGCTTTTGCAGGCCCCATGAGCCCCTCAAAGGTAAGGAGAGAACTTCCTATGACTCTAATGCCTACTTTTTTACATTTTTTTTTTTTTTTTTTCTTTTTAAGTAAAGAACCATTAGAAGATCCACCCACAGTTCATTGTGTGTTGTAGCTCGCTCCTCTTACAGATTGTGGCTCACTCTTTATTGAAGAGATGGATCTTCCTCCATAGAGAAGAAGCACAGAAACTTGTAAATATTTTTTACTGCTGAAAACGTAGAAATGTGTGGTGTAAATAAGAGGAGTGGAAGTTCAATCAAAAGAAGTTGTTCTTTTATTTTTCCTATTGGAATCTATTTAAAGAGCACTCTTGGCAAACCTTTCATCATCTTGCAGATAATTGCTCTAACTTTCCGAGCTGAAACAAAGCCTTTCCATGTGGCTTTGAATCAGTTTTTTAAAAATCTTATCTATATCTACTTTCTAGAAATTGACACTGGATATTAGAAGCACTTTATGACTTCTGCTTGTTGAATTAACAATTTTTTTTTTTTAAATGGAAAAACCGACAACCAAGCAGTAGGTGTTGGGATAGTTTTGGAAAAAGTATTGATTGTACAGTAGAAAAGTGAAGCCTTTAGTTTTCAGAGAGAATACTTAGAAATAAGGTAAATATATTGTAAGTTTATAGGCATTTATTTTACTCATTTGTTCAGTATGAACATGCTGGAACTATGACGGCTTTAGAAATAGTAAATAAATACAGTTGACAGCTTTCTGTCATCTAGTGCTTGAATTCTTCCAGGACTAAGTTTTACCAAAATGCTTAATGCTCTTCTAAATGCTCATGTTGGTCATTTTTCTGTTCACCTGACAGAAATGTAAATTTATTTTATACTCTGAAAAATTTTACCTAGGGTGTAAACAATGCATTGTTTTGATTGCTGACAGATACTTTTAATGTCTGATTGTAATTCTTAGTTATTGTTGCTGATTTTTGTTATATAAAGGCATAAAGTTTGGGATTTTACAAAAATACATTAGTTTATTTCCTTTAGAAGTTAAAATTCAACCTTCAAAATAAACAGCAAGAATATATTCTAATAATTGTATTGAGTTTTTGGAATTACATATATATGTTTTAAAAAAATACAAAAATATCACCTGGAATAAAAATACTCTAGAAACCAGTGACCAAGATAGCATGTGTCATTAAATAAAATTGTGACATGGCAAAATGATGAAACATACCTGTTTCCTGCTGCACACAATTTTAAACCAGGCAGACTTAGTATCTATACAGTTTACTTTAAAGTGGTTATACATTATGGTCCTTATTCTTTTAATAAGCAGTTATGAGATCAAAGTAAAGTAATAAACCAGTAATACTCAGAGGAGTAACTTTAGATCCAATATAAGATTCTTCATAGCTAGACTTGAGCAACACTTGTGGCAGAACTTGCATTGATTACATGTAGAGAGCAAACAGCTAAATGTCTTCTAGACCTATAGGTAGATATTTAGCCAGCACTGAGTTAGCTTCATACTGTGGGGGGTAGGTTTTTAAAATTATTTCTGTTTTTTAAAGGCTGAAGAATTTCGCAAGCTTTGGAAGACTCCACCTCGTGAGAGAGCTGGCTTCTTTCACAATGTCAGGAAATCTGATCTAGAGAGAGGTGTTGAAAGAGTTGGAAGGTATCTGAAAGAGTATAAGTATAAAAATTTAGCAATAGACAGAGCAATTAAAAGCAAAAGACTTGTGCTGAGAGTACGGTTATTACTTACTGAACAGTTTCTTAGGGCAAAATACTGGCAGGTATGTTTAAGTTGTATATTATGATTGGATTTTTACTGTATTTTTGTGTAAACAAAATAGCGAAAAATGTGAGACCTAGCTTACTTAGCTTTGGAAATAAAGAAAAATGTTTTAACTATTATTGGTGGTATGTATAGAACGCTTTTCTCAAACGCTTACTTGCCTAATTTGTCAGATCTAAAATTACACATAGCCTGTATGCATTATTTTTCTGTAAGATTGTTAAAAAGGTAGCAGATCGAAAATATTCTAACACAAATGTTCTGCTTTATAAAATATGTGTGGTGTGATATGTGTCTTTTCTGTTAAAATACCTTGTATCAGCAACATAGGGAAAAACATATGTTGTTAAAAGCTGATGAGATTTCTTTCTTTGAAGTAACTCCCTTGCTTCCTTCTACCTTCTCCCATTCCCAAATAGAAAAAGCTGTTGAATGGTGTGTATCATTCAAATTATGCCTACATCAGTGGGGATTCATCTCTATCTGATGTCTAGACACAGTCAGCTTACAAATAGCAATCTTTATGGTGCTAACTGTAAGAATAGTAGATTAAGTTTGAAAAATATTCTAGAAAAAATTAGATTGCACTCTTTGCTAAGGATGTGTATGTTGCTTTTGCAGACTGTTGATTGTTGTGGAACTGTGTTGCCTAGTTGCACGTTTATACTCCTATTAATAGCTGATAAAATGTGTTCAGAAAGTTATTGTCAAACTAATATTTATGTCTTCACAAATGATTCGTTTTATTTTATTTATTGCAGGGAGTTAGCTCATGAACTGGGGTTCCCGTGGGTTGAATACTGGGAATTTCTGGGCTGTTTTGTTGATCTGTCTTCCCAGGAGGGGTTGCGAAAATTAGAAGAGTACCTGAGTCATTGGGAAATGAGCGAAAAGGCTCAGCAAGAAACAGGGGAAAATGAAACCTGCAATAGATATAAAACTCCACATCCTTCTGGTAAGAAAAGGGAAAATGCTACAAACAACAGGTTGTACCTAGGGACAAGAGGGAGAGAAAAAGCTTGGGGCCCAAGGGAAGTAGTGTTCACCTGTTGTGGTTGCTATTACTAATCTGTTATCCAAATTAAAACATTGAAAAAGTAGCTAACAGCACTGTGAATGTAGGAGAATTAGAACAGACCTCATTAGATGTTCGTTATCTTTCATATGAAGTACTTTATTTGATTGTAGCCCCCAAATGAAATTCCTGTAAGAAATCTTCTATCTTCAGTAAATCTCTATCTTCAGTATGTTTTTACTCATAGCATTTGGGAATTCATCTTTGGGTACAGAACTTTGTAATCCACAGATACAGAATAAATAACTTCTTCAAATAGAGGAATAATTCTTTACAGTTGAGGGTGAAATACAAACTGAACAAAACCCAGGAAAGCTTTTATACCTTATTAGACCTCTGCTTGCCATGTGCCTATGGAAGGCATACACCAGTCCCAAGTCCCTGTGCTCATTCCTCCTTCTTTCCTGTGTGATTACAGACCTGGAGGGGCTCTGGGACTGGGATAAACCCGGCCTGACATGACCCTGAAGGATAGTCCATGGTCTAGTCATAAGCCTTTGTGCTGTGGAAGAGATGAAAACTTAAACTATTCTATATTAGTAATGTTTTCCTACCCTATTCTGCTTTATCCTGACTTTATCCTTTGTTGCTGGTTAATGATTGATGTGAGGAGTGTGAGAAATACAGTTTTCAAATTACTAGGATATGAAAAATGATATGCCAAAAAAAAAGGTACAGCTGTAGTGCTGTCGTTTTGCATTTGTGGCTTTAGTTAGGTTAGTTCATGTTGTTGCATAAATAAAATTAGAGAGGACTTCAATAAATAAAATAAAGCATAAAGAGTGTGTATTTGTTCCTAGTGTATTTGATTGGCATTCTCTTGAAAGTCTTTTTATGTGTTGCTCTTATTAAAATTGTTTACAGGCAAGAGTAAAAAGTGCTGCAATTCTATTTCTGTTGGAGCATTTTTGGATGAGGATGATGATGACATGAGCTTAGAAGAAATTAAAAACAGACAAAATGCAGCACGGAATATCAGCCAACCTCTTGTGTCCAAAGAACCTAGCATTGACGCTATTGGAGATGTGGAGTGTGATATCTTGTCAATGGAACGTGCAGTAAACATTCTAGAGGCATCAGCTCACCCCAGGCACTATGAGAAGGCGGCTTCTTCCAGCAAAAATGGATTTTGTAATCCTGTGTCCAGTGAAAGGATAATTAGTGACAGAAAGCATTTGCACGATGGAGAAGAATGCCTTGTATCGCCTGTTTCCAATCTAATGTCAGAATTTGAAAGCCTGTCATTCCAAGAACAAGAGGTTGCAGGAGAATCAAATAAAATCACTGAAAAAACTGAGAAGGAGAGAATTCTGGCTGAAGGAACAAGTCAGGCGAGAATATCCAAGGACTATCTGGATAGGACCTGTTACGCAGTTTCACTGGCAAGTTCTTCTGACCCAAGCGTTACAGGTAAACCCGGAGAGATCAAGTTAAGGACAGAACACAAAATACCATCAGAAAAGGAGAGAGTGTCCAAGCAGTCTGGAACTCAGACGAAAGAGGTGCAGCAACATCCAGAATTTTTTTCCCAGAAATTTCCGTTGAAGGCTTCACCCACAAATGACAATTCTAAGACGCTATTCCTGCTTGGGTAAGAATTGTCTTTTTAGCACTTACTTGTCCTTTGGTTTATATTTGCAAAACAAAATGCTTTTTATAATATCACTGACATCAAGGTTGAGATTATGTGATACTAAGCAACACTAGATGCAGTCAGCCTTGAATGACCATCTTAAAGTGCTTCAGTGCTTGTAGAGTAGCCAGCCATACAGTTCTCTCACACCTGATTACCGAAAACAGAAGAAGATTCCAAACCAGTTTCTGTTAACTTTGCTGTTCACCATTCATCTGACAAGACTGTGACTTCGTGATGAGCCTGGCGTAGATTAACAAAGTGTTTACTACTCTTTTGGGATGTCCTCAAATTAAAATTTCAAACCTTTTATTTTAGGAGATTACTGTGTAATGCTGGACAGTCATTTATGTATGGGCCTTCTGGAAAAAGTTCATAGAGAAACTGTGTTTATAGAGGAGCATGGGCAGTTTGCTTATATGAAAAGTGAATGGTTTGGAATTGGGATGTTTTATTGCCTGAACAAATACATAGTTCTCTTTTCTTCATCTAGTTCTGTTTGTTTTTTAGGGAGCAGCCCTCGAAGCTGGATAGTGATGTCTTAGCAGCTATAGAAGCAGTAGAGATTGATCCCCAGAAATACCCGATGATTTACAAATGGAAACATGCGGTGCAGTTGTACTCTTCATCTGACAGGCAAAGGTATTTCTGCAAATTCAGTCAAATGACTTGAAATAAATTTTTAGCAGGTGAGCTGCAGAACAGCTTGAATAACTAGAATTTCAGGTCTTGTTGCTCACAAAACCCTTGTTTTAAATATTCAACTGTATTAACTATTAGTGTGTTTCTGCAGTTATTTGCCAAGCCTTTTTGGCTGGTGTCTATTAACAAGGAAAGTTTACTGGTGTTGCAGTCAAATGCCTTCCATTACCCTGCAGTTCCAAGTAACTTCTACATATCTATAGAGACAAATCAGCAGATGAAGGTCTGGAGAGCAGGAGTGTTTTCCAGTTGGCAAATGGCTCAGTTTGCTGATGTACAACTTAGTACTTGGATCCTTCATTGGTCTTAATGGTCGTTGTGATGTCAGCTGGCAATTCATCCCTCTTGTGGATGCAGTGCAAAAACATTGTATTGCTTTGAGGTACTTGGGTTGTGCAGAGTGATTTTTAAAGTGTATTTAGTATCTTCAGACATCTTTTTATTACTACTTTTATTTTTACCCTCTATTACCACAGTCCAAAGAAATTGTTAGTGTGAATGATGGGGTGCGTTCAGTTTTCAGAGAGACTGTGATATTTTGTTACACAGATAACGGAAGCAGACTGCATTTGTTGGGACACCTGAATACGTTATGTCATTTATATTTCGAATGCTGCTGCTTTTGGGGACCCAAAGCAACAGTTTTCATACAAGTGTCTTCTGGTAATTGTATTAACATGAAGATTTATTTCCATTGTGACAGACACTGATCAGGACACTGAAGAGTCCCTTGCTTAGGCAGCCTACAGCTTCTATATAGTCATGATAAAGTTCTCAGAAAAGAAGCACATGACCCAGTGCCACACAACAGATTGGGAAGGGGACAGGAACAGAAAGCCATCAAATGACCTGTACCAACTTATGTTTTTCTCTTGTTTCTTCTAACTTTCTTAAATGCGTGAAATTTCACTTATGAGAACTATTTTCACTAAGAAGTTCTCAACAGGGGCATTAAACATAAATTTTTCAAAACATGCTTTAAAGACAGAACCTTTAAAGCTGTCAGAGCTTGTGAGAATTTTAAAAATATAATCGACTGGCTTCGTTGGCTACAAAATTCAGAGTAGGAGTTTGGAAGCAGCAGCTGAGAAGTGCAGCTGTGTTAAGTTAGTAGAGATTGCAGCAGGAGGAATGTTGTGGAAAGAGTTGAAACAACATGTGGCAGGGCTGAAAGAAGTGCAGATGATAATTGGAAGGAGAGATGCTGCCCAGTGCTAAGCACTGGGAGAGAAAGCAGCTTGCTTTTGTCTCTGTATTTCAAGTAGCACACTGAAATAGGGCCATCACATACACTGGTAGGAAAAACGTGAAGCTCTCTAAGATTCTTCTGTGATTTAAAGTGGAGTAGAAACAGGGAAATATTTTCATATACCTGGTTGATATGGTGTCCTTGTACCACCTTACTTTTAAAAGTCAAATTCTCTCATCTCTTGATTTCTGTGTTTATTTTTTTGAAAGAAATACACTGTGTCAGGCTTTTCTCATTCTTACTTCACTGTCTGTAAGGTCCAAGGTGTTCTTCTAAAGTGCTAAAATTTAACGCAAGATTTTTACGTGTAATCACTGTTCTGTCACATAAGTAAAAATGATTACTGTAACTATTTGACAATGCCAAGGCTTGCTCTGTCAGCACCCTTAATTTTGCAGCGCTACCTCTGGCGAAAGCAAAGCAACAACACACTTGATCACTTTGTGTTTAGGTAGGTCGGATTTTGGCTGCAAAAATCAGACCTAACGATACAGATACCAGTAGGTCTATCAGAATAAAATTATTTTCAGAGGGTTTTAAATAAGCTGTGTGAATGCATCTTTCATTGTTGGGAGGTGGGTGGGTTGGGTTTTATTTATCAAAACCTCATCAAATATCTTTAGCTTACAGCATGTTTTATGTAGTGGCTCATACTAAGAAATTTGCCTCACATATAAAAGAAAGAACAGATGCTGGAATCAACCTTTGGTCATTCTGCCTTGCTTAAGATAAAATCTAGAGAAAAAGGAAAAGCTTTTACAGAAAAGGGTTTTTAATTTAACAAAGGAAATATTTTGCTTCCGTGGTATCCACAAAAATTATTTTTAAAAAGGAGTGGGGAAGTCACGCTCAGCAATAGCTGCGGCAGTAACCAAGATCAGGTCAGCTTTGATCTTGGTGCCCTTTCCCAGTGGGGGCAGTGGACCAGAACCGCCCAGGCACTTCCCAAGCACCCGTTTCTTTTCCTAACGGCCGTTCTGGAGCCGGTGACACCTTACTGATGGGACCACATGCCTACATGTCATACTGTGTGCTGGCGCTGATTCTGCTCAGACCTGTCACTTACCAGTTACAATTTTTCTCTGCTGGTGCATTATTTCTAAGATGTATGAGTGATACTGAGTAAAAGTAGTGCTCTCCTTATTGCAGTTTTCTTAACAAAATGCAGAATGACACTTTGTTTCTTTCAGTTGGCCAAGTCCAGGACTGAAGGCAAGATTCAAGTCCCAGACCATCGCCGCTGGCCTTCCAAATTCCAGTTCGGGAAGAAAGAGTCCCATAACAGGAAGTCCAGGAAAATACAGCAGTGCCACCTCGTTTTCTCCAGACCCTGGGAGTCCCGGGCGCTACAGTCCAGCGTGTGTCAACCACGCTCTGTTAAAACTGCGTTATTTTTCAGAGCCTCCAGCCCACTAAAATATGATTCATCTTCCTGGGACTCCAATTCTATTTTCATTGTTAGAGTGGAGGAAAAAACTACAATGTTACGTGAGTGACATGAGGTTTGTACTTGGCTATTTATTTTTCCTCAATTGAGGATAACTGTATGTTAAAAAAAAATGGAATATATGTCTTTATGCCATATACGAGATAGATTACTGGTGATATGCAAGAAGTTAGTGCCAGTCAGTGCAGTTGTCCGGTAGCTATGAATTAATTCTTGTTGCCAGTAAAGCAGTGAGCTGAACCTTTACTTAGAAACGGTGGTATTTTACTATCACCAGTTGTCATTATTGTAAGGAACCCATTAGCCCTCAACTGCATTTCGTTAGTTTGGGTAGTCTGGAGGAGGCACATCATCAGTAAACAGAAATCTTAGGAGAGGAAATTGATGGCAAGAAGCAAAATGTTCTTCGACTCGCAGGGGGAATGCTAAAAGTGAAAAGCCTAAAACAAAGGCTGGGAAGTGGCAGCTTGCCAGTGCTGAGTTTGAATATGAAACCCTGTGCATAAAGAGAAAGTGAGTTTATAGCCAGCAGTTTGGTCCAGACAGCTGAATACACACACACACGCACGCACTTTTACATATATGTGTGTAGGTATGCACGTGTTTACACAGAAAACCTTGAGTCTTTGCTTGTTCTGAGGCTGTTAAAAACACCGTGATGTACTGAGTGCTTTAGTAAAGGGGCACTATAGCAATCACCGGTATTCCTTTAAATGTTAGTTTGAAGATTAAAAGAAAAGAATATCTAAAAACTAGCTGTTTTTTTCCCCGCAGAAGCTTTTAACATTAGCAGATTTTAATAGTTATAACACAAAAGCACATCAGCAATAATTTCAGCAAATTTACCAGCAACATACCGTAATGGTCTAGTTTGTAATATATTAGAGTGGTAGCCAGTGACCCATGATGTGGCTCCTTATTTCCCAACTGCAAACAGAGAGGAATAAGGACTAAAAATATTTTTATTGAAATCTAAGCTTTTACTATGTCTCTAGTCTTGACGTGGTAATGAGTTTTTGTTACTGCAGTCAATAATTTTATTCTTTAGCCTTCTATAAGAATGACTTGTTTCGACAGTACAATGCTGAGATCAAAGAATGCTTTTCAAAACCTGACAGTTTCCCATATCGAGCTTAATGGTTGTAATGTTGGTTGAAAAAAGGCTCCCAGAAACAGTTCTCTAGTTAAAAAAAAAAAGGAAAAAAAAGAAAGAAAAACCTATCTATCATTGCAATGTAAATCTGATCAGAAAATGAAAATCTGCCGAGGCTGTGCTGGTAAAAGGGATGGCCCGGGGTTCCCCGAAGGCGCGGCCCGGGCGCGGCGCGTGCCTGGCTGAGGAACCGGGGGGCGCAGGCGGCGGCAGCGGCTGCAGGAGCCGGAGCCCCAGCCCCCCCATTGCCCCCGCTGTGCCCGCCAGGGCACGGAGCTGCACCCCCAGGCCCTGCGCCCTGCCCCAGGGTCCTCATTTGGTACAGACCTAAAAACTGCACTTAATGCTTTTGCGAGCTTAATAGTGCCTTTTGTAACATATTTTTTTAATTAAATTCTTGTTCTTTTAGAAGTTTTAAAAAAAAAAGTGGCATCCACTTACTATGGGCACATAAAATACAGTTTTTCTTCTGGGCTTTCTGAGCAGAACGTATTTTAATGTCTCTTTCTAAGTTTATTTGGTGCGATAGCTCTCTGCCGTGGGAGAGCATTCTTCCTTTAGAACTTATTCTTAAGAAAAGGCTTATTTAGCTCTTTCTTTATAACTAAGCCTATTGCCAATGAGCTGGACATTAGAAAGAGCTACTTTACACAAACGACTCATTCAGCGATGCTCAACAACTAGCTGGGGGTTGGGGGGTGTCATTCTTTAAGAAAGAAATGTTTTTTAAAAAAACCCATAACCTACTATGTTACCAAGTATATTAACTGAACTGACTTTTTCATGAAGTTTTTGATGCAGCAGTCTCTGTGGTCTCAAACAACTTTTTTAGGTCCCAAATTCCTACAGTTTTATGTTAAAGGGCTTGGGGGGGGCGGGGGTGTATGGGAGAGGGTGGTGTTTTGGGTTTTGTTTCTGGTTTGGTTTTTTTTTGGTTTGGGGTTTGTTTTTTTTGTTGTTGTTTTGTGGGTTGTTTTTTTCAGTTGTTTTTTTTTTTTTTTAATAATTTAATGTAAATTATGTCTTTGTCATGCTGGAGAAATTATTCAAGTGATGAGTAAATGCCCAATACCATATCAAAGCCAAATTCAGGGGGTAAGTTGCTGTGCATGCAGCTGTTGTTCTCCACCCTGGCCTGTCCTGGGCTGGCCCAGGGTGACATCACCCTTTTATTAAGATTTTGTTGTAAAGCCAGGAGACTGATACTAACACTCTAGTACTTTTTCCTTTTTACATTTGTTACGCTTTGCTCTCTTTTTTTAGTATTTAAATGTGTATTACTGGTATGTACATGTAGACACACCCCCACACACACCTCCTCCCCCCCCTCCCACCACCCCACCCTTGCCTTTCACCTAGTTTCGGTTCACTCAGCAAAACGGGTTTTTTTAACTGTGTTACATTATGTGCATTAGTCCAGTTGTACTGCATCTTTAGAGGTCATTTTTCTAACAATGTATTTACTTCAGCTATTAAAAAAAAAGCAATTTATGTAGCGATTTGATCGTTCATGATTGTGAAGAAAGCTCTTCCATGCTAAGCCTGTGGAGACACTTTAAATCAGATTGATATTGCTTGAAATGTGTTTTCTTGGCTAAAAGTTCACTTTTAAAGGTGCAAAAGATTAGTTGTGGGTGTTTTTTTAAATTAGCCAAGCGTCATGTAAAAAATAGTTACCCTGCTTTCTATTAAAAAATAAATGAGTAGCTAAAAGCGTCACACTGTGTTTAGTGTACGGGCACGGTGCTAAGTACCTGGATAATACTATGATGTGGCAAATCTTACTAATAAATCTAACTCGGCCTTCCTAATACAACTCCGTGCATCTTTTGCTTGTGTGTATACAATGCCCCTGGATTAGGTCACTGAAGACTTGAATAGTCTCAAAATGTTTAAGAGACAGGAAGTCAGAATACTGTAAAAATTAGGTACTTAAATTTTAAATTTCATTCTTCCCTCACGTCAACTTAAGTGCCACTGAAAATGTTAATTCCTGTACATGTGCAAAGAGGTGGGGTGTGGGCTCTGGCTGCCCACCAGGAGCCTGTTCACTGGTGGGGGGAGTAGAAAGCTATGGATGTGAGTATGTATGCACACAAATAAAACTGCACAGAATCTTCAGCTCCCTGGCTCTGGTGCTCCTGTTCCTTGTGGTGGGAAGTGACACAGCCCCGCACCTCCCAAAGCACCAAGATCCACAGGACTCTGCCTAGAGCTGTGCAGTCCCCTTGCATAGAGCAGTGCTTGCACCCGGTCCTGGGGGTGACGATAATGAACTCTGCGCTAGCTCCTCTCCCAAGTTTACATTGCAGCTACGGGAAGGGAAAAGGACAAAGGTGGTAAATGAGTTGTTACCACAGGCACGGTGGGATACAAAGGCTGCTCGGCCAGCAGAAACACACCCAAGTCACTGCACAGCACTTCAGCCACATCTACAGCTACTCAACTGAAGAGACAAGAAAGAAAGACAGACCAGTTATTTTATTCAAAACTTTTAAAAAGTTAATAGACAAAAACTGATAAATTATTCTCATTATCAATGAGAGGTAAGTCATGATGGTTTCCTCTTGCCCCCACAACTTGCACTACACAACGATCATGTTTTGTTCCCTACTAACCCCACTTTCCTTGAAAGCCTCCTGCTGTAGCAGTCCTGTATCAAAGCGGCCTTTAAACCCTGTCTCACTCGGCTGTGTGCTGTGATTATGCTGCACACAGCTCTGACAGGAGCTCAGCGTCTCATCAACATTCTCAGTGATAAGAGGACCTGTTAAACTAGTTAGTTCTGATTGCTGTCCTACAGTCTGTGCTCTATCCATCACCAAGGCAGACTCTGCATTTGGTGACATTTTTTTCATTGCAGGCATTAAGTGAGCCAACCTCCTGGAGCCGTTCAGGTGCCTAGCAAACATCCTCAGGCTGAAATGCTGCTGAGCCCTACCCTCAGAAACGAAACCCCCTTCGCAGCCACCTGCATTCTGCCCAGCAGTGTCAGGGCTGTACAGAGCAGCCACTCTCAAAGCATTCTGCCCGCCCCCCTCCCACAGACAGTTCCTCACCATTCAGGCCGCAGTGGTTTTAAGCAGCAGTTTGCTTCAATACTGCAGAACTATGCTCAACTCGGGGGTGGTACGCCTCTACTCAGAAAGCAAGGTATCAACAGGTACAAATCAATGGGAGAAAGCACTCAAAAACATAAGAGTCAGTAACTGGAAGCACTTTCAGAAGATTGCTGCTTTCCTTTCCTTCCATCTTACTGCTACAGACTCATCCCTGTGTCCGTCTACAGACCAAGTGTTAGTTAAAAGGCTTTACAAGACTGAAAAACATTGTTCAGCCTAGCTTAAAGAACTTCCTGAGGATGGAGGAACACGTAGGATACGCAGCAGTTAATTCTAGCACCACAGCTCTGAGGCAAATGGGTTTTTTACCCTCTCTGCTTTAGGCTTGCAACCTCCAGGCACAGTTTACATGAGCTTTTGGGGGACAGAGGGGAACAATGACAAAACAGAAACACACATCCTCAACAGCTTACACAAACTGAAGCCTTAATCCCGCGTCCTTTGAACAGCAGAATACCCTGTTTGTCACTTCTGCAGGAGCTGAAACAAGCTGGCTTGTCTTCAGTTTTAGCTGCAGTGTGATACAAGGCTATTCCTTCCTGTTCCCACACCACTTGCTGTCCTGCACAAGAGAAACATCCACAGGCACAAGCTTTGGTTCTAGAAATTCACGGTGGGGTGGGGGAAAGTCAGTGCTCTTACAACTGCTGAGCACACAGACATTCGATCTCTTTGTGTTCCACAGCTCAGCTTTGCATTTTGGGGAATACTTGAGGACTGGACAGCTTCAGGCTTACAGAGATTTCTTCTTTCCCAGACTGAAAGGCAGATATGAATATGTATGAAGGAGGCAAGGGGCTAAAAGACATTTCAAGACAGCGTCACACCCCAACATAACAGATAAAAATCGAACGGTACCATAGCTGAATGTACTAGTGCAAAGAGCCTAGAGGCAGCTGCTGGACAGCCATCACTTTTGCTCAGGTGCGCGTGATTTTATCTGGAGGCATGAAACCCGTGTCACCCAGTGTTCGAAGTGCCACTCTTCCATTTGGACGTATCACCAAGTGAGTTATACTGCCATTGTTAAGAGACATTCGCAGCCAGCCTTCTGGGGGGAACTGCAACGCTCTATTAAAAAACAAAACAAAAAAAAAACCAACACATTATTCATTCATAACTAGTTATATTAACATGCCCTCACAGCATCACGTTCTGTTCCAGATAAGAAAAAAAAAAAAAAAAAAAAAAAAAACAACACACAACAACATTGTTGGTCATTCTGCAGCTTGCAGGCAAAGGCTCCCACAGTCAGCCTGGGAAAAAATATTTTCTTGTGCAACTGATACGAAAATGCAACTGGTAACTGGACCGGTGCCAATAATGCACTTGCATCAGCAGAGTCCAGGAGATGGGTATGATTACTGTAGGCAGGATTACTTCACACTGACAGAAGGCAGAAGCTCTAACGTAGTCAGGTTGCTGGGAGCGCTCTGAGCAACCTCGTAACAGAGAGGACAAAAGCCAGCACAGGCTGGAGTTGGTCCCTGAGCCTCTGAGCACCCCCGGCCCCGCGCTGCTCAGGGCAGGTACGGAAGGTGGCCCAGCGCCCCAGCGGCCTCCGCAGGCCAAAGGTGTGAGTGTCCAATGGCACACTTTTCCACACTATTTTAGCCTTATCAGCACATGTAGGTATGGAGCAACAGCAGAGAAGAGGTAGCGAGACAGGATTCATTCCACTTGCCTGGATGTGCCTAGAGAAGAAATTCACCACAACTACTTTCCGTCAGCTACACTGTTCCCCAGAAGCAGCAAGAAAAAGTACCTTGTGCTTTTTGTAGAAACAGTGCCACAGTCAGTTTCCAGTTATTCTAAAATTCCTAACTGAACAGCCTCAGGACTGCAATCAGTTGTAGTAAACAGCTGAAGAAAATATGAAATTGCCTCAGACATCTTCTGTCTCAGATCCTGAGGGATATCTTGGTTTTGGCTCTTATGACAGTCTTTTAGAAAAGCTAATTAAGTAACAGCTACAGTCAAGCTAGATTCAAAGGGAATGCTATATGGATTGTGTTCAACTGTGATACCAGATAGCCTGGAAGGGAAGGCACAGAAGAGACATTAAAAAGAAGAAGGAAGAAACAGCAAAAAGTATACAAGTATTTCAGAAAAAGCCTAGGTAGCAGCAAGATGATCTCTTTTGGCACAGGAAAGAATATTCTGTTTACCTGATCAATAATTTTAAGTATAGCAATTTTGAAGAGCTCTAAAGCAGTCCACAGAGCAGACAGGCTAGCATTTAACTAGCTCAGCTAAATAAAGCTACCTGAAATTGTTGTAGGTATTGATCAGATTAAAGTTTAATCACATCTGTCTTGCTCAAGACAAATTGTCTTAGAGACAGTGCTCTGTTGATAGGGAAGAGGAATAAAACAGACACAGCTGACTAGATACAGACAGGCAAAGATCCAGAACTGTTTTCTCCTTCATGAACCACCTTGATGTTAGAGGAAGCATCCACTCTCCTCTCTAAACCAATACTGGATGTCACTGCAAGAACACACTAATACAACTTGTATTATGTTCAAAAATTTCCATTAGTAAAGAATTCCCAAAACTAAAACAATCTTTCATTATGTAAGATCAAATTCACGTCACCTCAAAAAGACGCAGCCAGTCAGATGCTCTATTTGGTGTCTTTTTCAACAGTCCACCCAGGCATTGTCTCCAGGTTTGCAGGAGGCAGAAGCTTATGTTATTAAAGAGATGTACGATATGTTTTGAGTCTCACCAATTTAGCTGTTTTCACTTTAGAATTAGAATGAAAGTGTTCTCATTTTCAAATTTGTCCTCTCAGCAAATTAACCCTGTGATGAAGTTGCAGAAGCAGCTGCTCGCAACACAGGCACTGATCTCCAACCACTTCAAACAAGCCAAATCACAACTTCTCCCAGCTCAGCAGTGCCATGTAACAACGCCACTTCAGTAAAACTATCACCTTTTAAAGAACACAGATGAACATGCAATCCAACACGTACCTGCACACAATATAGCGGATCACATTGGCATGGCAGACAAAGATCTCATAGCTGTCCTCTTCCTGCTTCACATCAGCTCTATGAATGAAGTTGCGAAAAGCAGCCTCGATTCGAGCTCCATCTTCATAATACTGCTAACGGCACAGAGTTCAGAATTAAACCCAGCTCAGAGCAGCACGTGCCCTGGCCTACGTTTGCTGATGGGCTGCGTCGTCTAAAGAGTTCTTCTTTAGAGGGATGCATACTTAAGGTTGAACAAGTATTTAAGAATTGTAAGTTAACTGTTCTATACACTTATTGGGGAAAAAATTATCCAACTATCTCAGGTCTGTGATGAAAAGCATCATCTCAGACACCGCAAGTTATCACTAGTCGGTATGAAGCATATTTAAAACAAAAACAACAAAAAAACTCCCACCCCTCCCCCCCCAAAAAACAAGAACATAAATACAGAAAAAAAAACAAAACCAAAAACAAAAAACAACCCAAAACTTTAAGAAAGAAGTTACCACAGCTTCTGGTTTCCAGTGAGAGACTGGGGGGTCTGGTTCTATAGGTGCTCCCTCTCTCAGCAGATCAGTGCTAATTTTTTTGACTCCTGAAATATTAAATACACATTCAGAAAGGAGTTGTTACTTCACATGCTACTGCAAACAGGCCCACCACAACTCTACAACTGATACATTTTTCATATTCTTTCTTTAAGGAAGTCTTCTTCCTCTCCATCCTAAAGGCCGTTTTGGTCTACACACTTCCTATCAAGGTATGTGAATGTCTCCAACACAGTTTCTCCATGAGCAAGGTGAAGCTTATTCCAACTGAAAACAGCCAGACCAGCCTGGCACAGGAAATTGAGTCAAAGTGCAGCAGACTGGGAAGAAGAAATTCATTTACAAGGATGTTAATCTAAAGCTGTATGTCAGTTAATGCTTACTGCTAATTAATGCAAGTTAATGTTAATACACTTTTTATATTTAATATTTATATTACTGTATTAATATCTTACTCTGAGGAAGGAAAGATGGCTTAGGTGGGGTTTTCCGGTTTGGTTTGGGGGGTGTTTGGGGGGATTTTTTGTGTTGTTGGTTTTGGGGTTTTTTTGAAGCAGCATATTTAAGAAAACACACATAGATTGGTTAAGAGAACTGACTTTCAGCTTGTCATACCTGATTATCTGCTAAAATACCAACAGAACTTTCTATAGTCAAATAGTTTAGAAGCTGGTATGTCTGAACAGCAGGAATGCAAACCAAAAACCACCCCAAACCAACACCACCACCCCTACCCCACCAAAAACCACCCCAAACACAACAACCCAATAACCCACATAAACAAAGCGGCCACCCACCCACGCCAAGAAATCCCGACACCTCTGTGAGTGTGCCACATCTTCCCCTGCACAAACGACAGCACAGCGCACAAGAAGAGCCTGTTAACTAACCCAAGCATCACCACAAAAACTGGAATTTATGTTCCTCTTCCCTCCTGCGCTATTGCTCCGTGAGACTAAGGACTGAGCCAATCCTGATGACCCGTAACAGCCTTTGCTTTTCAAAACAGGTAAGTGAAGAACAACCATCAGTTCTCCTGCAAAGCAGCACATACAGGCAGCAGCTTCACTCAGAGGGGCTGATCCCTCTTGTATTTTCAAAGATGAACAGGAAAAAAGCAGAATTAGGGTTGTTAGTTTCTTTATAAATATATATATTCACACAAGGCTGGAAGCTGCCTAAGTAACATCTCAACCTTACAGAGAAGCTTAGAATTCTACTGGAAGGAGTTTTACATATCAGAAGACAATGAAAAATTAAGGGAAGTCACTTACCTGGGAGATGCTTGCTTATAATTTCAGTTGTTTCAGTTGCTCTAGTCATGGAGGAGTGGATAATCTGATCAAATTTTAATCCCAAACTTGCCAGCCTGTGTCCAGTCAGTTCAGCCTGCTCTCGACCTTAAAAATTATATTCATTATATAAATTGGGGACATTCAGGTAAACAACTCACACAAACTACCAAAAAAGTTATCCAGTAGTCGTCAACGGTCTCCATCGATGTCAGGTTTTTTTCTTTCAAAAAGTAATTGGAAAACATTTTTATCAAAGTCACTACTTATTCAGATCAAGCTTATTGGCTGGACAATTTCAAGTCATATTTCCCTTGGCAGAAAAAATTAGTTATTGTGTTTTTTTTTTCATTAAAATAAAAAATTAACAAAAATGCAAACTTATTCAGAGACTTTCACTAAAGTATTCAATATCCCTGCCAGCCCCATCCCAAGGGAGCCACTTACAATAAAAGTTAGTGCTGACCCAAGCCATCTGCCATCTCTGTGTTCAGGGAGCACAGAAGGGGAGACTCTGTCAAACAGATCCACTCAGAGCTGACAGTGCATTTTTCATAAAGACAGCATCATCTCGGAAAGTTAAGAACCACAGCACTTGCTAGGGATGGCTTTATTCCATCTTTTAGGTAGGTAGGTGAAAAGACAACAGAGAGTTTAAGTAATTTACCCAAGGCACAGGATGAGACAGGATTAAGATGATACTTTCTTACCATTTTAAGATAGCACCTTACTTCTGAAATTAGCATTTCACTCCTGCTGGCACACTAGTGATTAAGACTTGGGCGGAAATAAAGGTGTTTATACTAAACATTTGGCACTAGACTTTCAAAACCTCAAGCAGTGCTTCACAGTAGTAATTCTTCTCCCCTCAAAACAGCCTTGGCAGACATATAATCAAGAAAACGTCCACTACTTTTAAAGGACACTATTGAAAAATAATACTAATTAACACCTGAGACCTAGTCACAGGATCAATGAATTAAGATTAACACAGACAGAGGTTATCTTCATTTCATGTAACTGATTAGCAGTATTCCCAGAAACAGTGCTTAGTAGCAAAAGTTAAATGTATTTAATTATAAACACTCCAACGGAAAGTGAGGGGTAATTTTTTCATATATATATATATATATATATACAAATCAGCAAATTAACTAACAGAAACACAGGCCACCTTTTAAGAGAAATCTATCCCAAAGTTAGTCATAGAGCTAAGCCTTGGCCCTGGGGAATTATGTCCGCTAGCATGAAAACTTTACCAAGCAACCTTAAGATAACTGGAAGTTTCCTTTGTGAAATTTCTTTACAACTAAGTGTGTTTTGAACTCTGTAAAGCACATTTTAATGTTTGGATTTAGAAGATCAAAAATGGAAAATACAAACTTATTTGTGACATCTTTCTGCCACAAAGGATCCAGAAAGCGGAGTAAGGTTTGGCAGCGAGACCCAGAACAGAGCTGAGTTACTGACCTGTACTCATCAGGACAGCAGCACATGAAAAAACATTTTCTCCAAATGCCAAGTATGATGCTTCTAATAATACATACCAAGTGGGGTCAGAGTTCTGTCTTTATCAGCCCGTCCATCCAAATTATACTGAGAATGACGGATAAGGAATATGTGCCTGGTGGCTTTTGCTTTGCAGTGATCTAAGCGTGAGGCAAGTTCTTCTTCCCCAGTTTCTTCATTTTTCTTTTTGAGGTTGATAAGAGCCAGTGGTTCACGTCTAAACACACACATTTAAAACACAGTTTTTACATAGCAGAGTCTAAAAGGCAGAGGAATTTCACAGAGGGGTAGTCTTGCCTTATTTCTAGATATAGCTGAAGTATTAAAATTTACTATTTAGCTATTTATATCAAAAAACGGATTCACACCATTGTGCAAAAGCTATAAATAAAAGCCTGCCTTAAAAAAAAAGTTAATGCCATAGGTTAAAAGGTGTAACTGACACAGATAAATCCGCTGTTTAGCAACAGGCACCTCTCAACTAAATCTCAGGGAAAAAAAAAAAAGCAACAAACGCAACACCAAAAGTTAAATCCCAGTGCAAACAGATGGTGTACACTAAAAGATATGGAAGGTAGAGTCTGTCTGGACAAGAAGATTATAAACCCTAGCAGAGACTTTATACTTGAACTTCTGTTGATTCAATAGTTGTTCCTGGGATTTTCACTCATTTGTAGTCACAGGTATAACGGTAAGCTTTTTGACAAGATAAAGCTAACCATGAATGACACCCAGGAAAAGAAGAAGAGGTGTTGACTGATCATAAAGGAAGGAAAAAGTTCCATATCTAAAAGGCCCTGTGATAACACCTACAAAACTTGCACTTTATCAACCACGTTTACATTAAATGACTAAACCACACCCCCCCCAACAACTCCTAGAAAGACTCCAACTTTCTGCAGTCCACGTTGAGAATTATTCTGTGCTTTAAACTAGGTCACATCAGGCCTCTCCAGTCACACTTTTTATTTTTCAGCCCAGAGTGTTTATTTATCCTTTCCTCTTTTTCATCACTCTCTCCCCTCATGCCATTTTAATCTTTCTTCCATTTTGTCACACTGCACACGAGTCTCTCCTTCAGCATACCAGCCCCTCCTCTCCTGCATATCAACCAGTTGACCTGGTTCCTCAGGACACCAGGCACAGAGGATCTTCCCCTCCCTCCCTCAGTATCACAGATTAGTGCCACTGATTTCCTGCTGCTGACAACAACTCTGAGCTATCATCAATCCTGTCCACATCTTCCACAGATGAGTCTTCTGGTCCCCCCTCTGCACTGATCCTCTACCCCATTAACACAAATCATTTTGCTATTTCTCTCCATATCTGAGCATAAATCCTTTCCTTTGATCTCATGCCTAAAGAACAGTTAATTTATTTAATTCATACCAGACCTCACTTCTTCCATTATAAAAATTAAACTTGCGTATAGATTTTTTTAAATCAAGAATATAATTTTTATTCACTTTGAGACAAAGTAATTTGGTCATAGAAAATTGCTGCTTCACATGCCTATTTCTACAGTTCACAACAAGATTGGCTTTACAAAGCCCTGCATCCATGTTGCTTTAGTATAAACGTTATTTCTATCAAAAAAATGAGGCTCGATACATTCCTTAAACTATTAAAGTTTAGCAAGGTATTAGAAATTAAACAATAGTTCAATAACAAGGCAGTCCATTGCTATTTCATAGAATATTTCTTTTGATTCACTAAAAACTGTATTGCTGAAAAGATACATTAGGAAAACAGATGTCTGAAAAATTCAAGCACATTTGTAAAGTAACACAGGGACTAATTAATCCTATGCCAGAAACACGTAACAAGAAATGCCTGAGTGAAAGTCTTGCCCTCTCCCCCCCCAGCATCTCTGAAGTTACTTGATGGTAACATGTGCTTTCAAAACATCAGATGCTTGAACAAGCCATGAGTGTATAAACAAGTTTAACAATATTTTTAGCATAAGCTAGTTTTTAAAAGTTTATAAGCAGGAAAACTTTTAATACTAAGACTTGTCAGTCTCACCTCTGTGCCCAGCAAGATCTGGGAGCAGATCCTCCTGGAAGCTATGCCGGGGCACATGGAAAATAAGGAGGTAATTGGTGACAGCCAACATGGCTTCACTAAGGGCAAGTTGTGCCTGACAAAGCTGGTGGCCCTCTTCAGTGGGGTCACAGCAATGGTGGATAAGGGCAGAGCAGCTGATGTCATCTACCTGGACCTGTGCAAAGCATTTGACACTGTCCTGCATGACATCCTTGTCTCTGAACTGGAGAGACATGGATTTGATTGATGGACCACTCGGTGGATAGGGAACTGGCTGGGTGGTCACACTCAGAGTTGCAGTCGATGGCTCAATGTCCAAGCAGAGAGCAGTGACAAGTGGCGTTCCTCAGGGGTCGGTGTTGGGACCACTGCTGTTTAACATCTTTGTTGGCATCATGGACAGTGGCATTGAGTGCACCCTCAGCAAGGGCAGTGATGACACCGAGCTGTGCGGTGTGGTGACACGCTGGAGGGCAGGGATGCCATCCCGAGGGACCTGGACAGGCTGGAGAGGTGGGGCCATGTGAACCTCATGAAGTCCAACAGGGCCAAGTGCAAGGTCCTGCACATGGGTCAGGGCAATCCCAAGCACAAATCCAGGCTGGGTGACTAGTGGATTGAGAATAGCCCTGCAGAGAAGGACCTGGGGGTATCTGTGGATGAAAAACTGTGAGCCAGCAATGTGCACTCACAGCCCAGAAAGCCACCCGTGTCCTGGGCTGCATCAAGAGAAGTGTAGCCAGCAGACCAAGGGAGGGGATTCTCCCCCTCTACTCTTGCTCTGGTGAAACCCTATCCAAAGTCCTGTGTTCAGCTCTGGGACCATCAGTGTAAAAAGGACATGGATCTGCTTGAGCAGGCCCGGAGGAGGCCACGAAGATGCTCGGGGGGGACTGGAGCACCTCCCTTGGGAGGCCAGGCTGAGAGAGTTGGGGGGGTTCAGCCTGGAGAAGAGAAGGCTCCAGGGAGACCCGAGGGCGGCCTCCCAGGGCTTAAAGGGGGGACAGGGAAGGTGGGGAGGGACTCTTGATCAGGGGGTGGGGGTAGGACGAGGGGGAACGGTTTTAAACTGGAAGAGGGGAGATTTAGATTAGACATAAGGAAGAAATTCTTCCCTGTGCGGGGGGTGAGGCGCTGGCCCAGGGTGCCCAGAGCAGCTGTGGCTGCCCCCTCCCTGGAAGGGTTCAAGGCCAGGTTGGACGGGGCTGGGAGCACCCTGGGCTGGGGGAAGGGGGCCCTGCCCATGGCAGGGGTTTGGAACTAGATGGTCTTGAAGGTCCCTTCCAACCCAAACCAGTCTGTGATTCTATGACTTTACTTAAGCAGGTTTTTTTATGCCGCTGAAACTCAGAAGCTGACAAATGCAGTTTTCTGCATTCCCTTTTTTAAAAAAATCACCCAAGATCGTAGCTGGACAGAACTTTGCTAAAAAGCAACAGCAATACCAGGGACCGTCTTTAAGCTTAATTATAAAAAAAGTATCACCTAATCTATAACAATGTCCTTCTCACTTTTCTTCCAGGTACTATTTTACCTGAATGAAACTATATCTAGTCTTATCCAAGAACTGAGCTGTACAATTCCAGTGCAAGTGGCATAGACCAATGCAACATGCGAGGTGTAGCTTCTTCAGGAAGCACAGGATCAACAGGAAGTCTGAGACCATGGTACTTGCATTCCTTTGTTTTAAACTTTAAAAGCCATCAGTTGTTAAGAATATTGTATAGTCTGGTTATTTGCTCACAACGTGACTTTATAAATCATTCCCCACACTCCCCCCCCCCCGCCCCCCAAGAGAAGTGGTAAGATTCTTTGTGTAAGTCATTTAACAGCTTTACATGTTAAGTGTTTCTGCTAATGTCATCCAAAAATCAAAATTAAAGACTTCAACCAGGTATAGCCAAAGCCATACCACACCAACTGGTAGACACCAAGTAGCAGAAAACTAAAATTGATCTGTGACAATGTAGTTACATAGTATACTTCCACTATTTGCACACTATGACAAATGGTGATATAATACACTATCCTTAACTGGTATTAAGTGTTACCTGCCATATTTGTTCAACCAATTGTGACAGCTACCTCAGTTACAGCACAATCTCTACTTCCTGAATTGGTAAAAAAAGTTACACAAGTCTGAAAGTACTTTAGAACCCCTGAAGAAAATCAACCATTGAACAGAACCAGAAAGGCCAGGATCTGCAGTTAAGCAAGCAGCTTTACTACCTCCCCCAATGGAATTGTGTAACCAGGTATAACCTCATTTAAATAAAGTTTTATTTTTATAAATTGGGTGTACATAGCCCTATTTATAGGACCATTTGATTCTGTAGCATGTCAAAAATCAAAACAGCATGCATTATACAATAAAAATCTGTTAGTGCTTAAGTTCGGATTTACTATGATTAAACTGGAGCCTGACATAAGTCTCCCTGGGGAGATAATTCTACCAGACAGAAGCTAAATGAGCCAAAGCTCACTACAGGTATTTGCACATTCTAATTAAAAAAATCAGAAAAAAAGTAGTTAATCCCTGGGTGAATGTCTTTCAACACTATGAAGAACACAACTAAGCAACATTGCCTTTACAAGGATTTAAGAACACTGACTTCCAGCTTCATGATCAACACATGGAGCAGGCCTAACACATGCCCATCACGTGTAAGCGTTCTTCGTCCACAAGGCCACCGCTACTGAACAGCAAAATCTCGGCGTAACAGAAAGCAATACTGAGGTATGGTTAATACAGCGTTAAAAAAAAAACAGGCACCTCTTCTACACAGCGCTCACACTTATCACAAACCTAAGGCTTTGCAATCTCAGTGGATGAAGGCGTTAGAATAAAGGGATCTGTGCCTCTTTACGGCAGGGAAAGTCTCTGAACTAAAATAAGACACAGGGAAGGCATCCTTTCAGTGTACCCAGGTGCTCCAGAATGTCAAGCGTTTTCAAGAATTTCAACTATATTCTGCTTCGAGCAGTTCACGATCTAAAATTTCACGTGGAAGCGAGTCCTGCGGGCTCCCGACAGGGCTCCGGGGGCCGGCGCTGCCGCCCAGGGCTCCGCACCCGCCGCCGGCCGGTCCCAGGGCTCCCGCGGCCGGGCCCGGGGCCTCCCCTGCGCCCCTTCTCGTCAGAGGGGCACTCACCCCCGAGCCCGAGCCCGCAAGCGCCGGTCTCTCCGCACCGGGTTCCGACGGGGGGGATTTACGAGCTGCTCCCGCCGCCTCCCCCGGGTCCCGCCATCTCCCTCACCGCAGACGCCGCCCGGGAGCAGGGTCCGTAGCGAGGCGAGGGTGGTCGACCCCGCTACCACCGCACCTACCTGTCCCAGTTACTGTCCCAGTAGCCGCCGGTACCGGCGGGTCTCTCGATCCAGCCGGGGGCCGGCGGGCAGGAGGCTGCGGCGGCGGCGGGCGGCGGCAGCAGCAGCAAACCCGGCGGCGCCGCAGCAGCGGGAGGAACGGCGGCGGCAGAGCCCCCCGGCCGCAGCTCGGCGTCGCCGCCGCGGGCCGGCTGCTTGCCCACGGCAACGGCGGAGAAGAGGACGGAGCCGCCGGCCAGCCCGCAGGCGGCCAGCGCCAAGGCGCGGCGGAACGACATGGCGCGGGCGGCGGGCCGCGTGCCCCCTCAGCCCCCAGCACCGCCCGCCGATCGCGCCGCCCCGCCCCGGACGGAGCGCGGCGTGGGGCAAGATTCCTCCGCGAAGCCTCGCTGGACGCCGCGGGGGGGCTCAGCCGCGGGCAGCGCCTCTGGGCCGGCCGGGCTCGGCTCCCCGCGGCCGCGGAGTCGCGGCGGAGGGCTGGGCCGCGGGCTGAGGCAGCTCGCCCTGCCCGGCCGGCCGGTCGGAAACCGGTTTCTGCACCGGTCGGGTCACTGGGAGCCTGGTAGGGGCTGGGCAGGGCGATGATCGCCAGCCCTGCCTGGATGAATTAACCACCTAGCGCGGGTGCCAGCGTGAGCGCTCGCCGGCACAAAGGAGAGGTTGCAACCGCCGTGGGTAAAGAGTGCAGCACGTTTAGTTGTAAGCCGTGAGCTGGCTTAGGTAGGAATCGATCGTACAGCCAGCATCGGAAACCGGGAATTTACAGTCAGCATCGAGTTCCCGGCGTTGGAAGGCGGGAGCCGCGCTGTGGGGGGTGCAGGTGGCCACCGGGCAGCCGGGCTGGGCCTTCCCGGCCCCGCCTGCTCCCACCCAGCCGCCTTTGCCCTCTCTTCCCTGAACGCGGCTCCTCCCGTCACCAGGAGACTTCTTTCAGAAGCAAGATCTCGGGTTAGCTCCACCAGCACTGTTGTGCAGAAGAAACTACGTGGTCAAACTGGAACGCTGAGTATCTGTAGATCAGCAATGGTATTGTCCTAATAACCTCACAACAGAAGCCTTTGGGGAAAGGGAAGCCCCCTTTTTGTCTGAGTTGACATCCAAAACTCAGCAGTGATTTCTACCTGTTAAATTCAGCAGTTTGCAAATGGCGACAGAAATGCTACTGAATGTGGGTCTTGGGATGCTGGCAGATTTTACAGATTCCATTATTCGGCCTTTGCATATTTAATTATGCATTCTTATCATTCCAGTCCACCTGTTCAAGCTTTGTCTCCATAGTCACATTCCCCATAATACAAATTGCACTACTCATGTTATTCCACTAATATGCCAGCTGGGTAGACAGTTCCCAACAGCCAGATTTCCATCGGTATGGGTTACTCCAGAGCAAGTGAAAATAGAGTCTGTTCCCTCCCAGAGATCTGTTCTGCTTCATCATGGTGCTAACAGGCTCCTCCGTTCTGCGGGACTTGCAGCACAACTACAGCTTTTGTGCCTGTCCCAAACAACGGTCTTTCTGCTCAAGAAGTTAAACCACTTACCAGCTTTCCCAGCTGAGTGTCTTTCCTCTGTCCACCACTTTGTGTCTCTGTCTCACACCTACATGGTGCAGATGGAGAAAGAGATCTGACTGTAGTACAGGTTCTTCGGCTCTTGGACGTTTTACAGATCAAGTGGCCCTCGGGTCAGAAAAGTGAAGCAGAGACCCTGATGAAAATTTGCTGCAGACCAGATGTTTTTTTCCCCTCCTTTATACTTCTTGCCTGCCTCATTCTCTATATTTAAGGCACTCAGCTTTCTATTTCTTCTTATATATCTCTAAAATTTTAATTTTATTATTTTTCTTCAGTTTATCTTGGAAGTATTAGCACTTATCGTAGATGCAGGTGTGTATCTTTACACTGTGTATGTTCTTTTTTAACAAGAGCCTAGAGTTTGTTTTCAAAACTTCACATCCAGAACCTCATAAATAGCACAGTTCTTTTTCCCCAGTTCTTGTCTCCTAGCTTCCTGAAAGTGACTTCTAAATCTTTTCACCCCATAATGCCTTTTCTCTTTTATCCCTCGTAACACTCATTCTCCATTAACTGTCCCACTTCTATACTACCTCTTCCCCTGCAGCCTGCCCTCTAACCTGCATCCCAGTTGCCACACTTGACCTCCAAGGACTCACAAAAGGAAAAAAACTGCACCACATGCGATCATCTGCTTGGGAACAGGGACAGGCTGAAGCTGGATGGGACAAATAGTGCAATTCCTGATAAATCTCTCGATTGTTTGAGCTGAATTATGAAATCACATGGTTCAATTCAAAACTTCAGTGCTATTAAAGGTGCAACAATTGCACAAATAGCCAACACTTGAGGTCAAAATCCCAGTATAGACGGAGGCAAGTTTGCCAAGTGCATGACAGTGGCACCAACTTACACCAGGGCTGAACTCAGTCTACCACCAGAAAAGTTTGAGACTGTTTTTAAGCAATAATAAAAACTGTTTCCTCAGCAAAAATGTATTTCTGAACATCTGTGCAATCTCATTGTGCTAGAAAATTAAAATGGATAATATTGATTGTTTGCCTCAGTGCTGCATTCTGGATGTCATTCTTCTGCGATAACACTTCACTATCAGAAATCTCCTGTGCATATGCTCGCATTCTGCAGTTTATTTTTGCTTGCTTTAGGTACTAATGTACTTATACACTTTATGTGCAAAAGTCTTTCAAGAGTATCTTAGGTTTTACTCAGTAAGGCCAAAAATGTTATTTCTAGTTAGATCATGTTTACCATTTTGTAAAACTTGCAATTCAATTAGATTAAAAAAAAACCCTAAGAATAATTTGTTAAAGTGTTACCGGTAGCTTGAATACACAATCCTGCATTACATTAATAACTACTTAACTTCTTGCTCTTTGTTTTTTTATATAGATACATATTGCTACTATTCTAATCCAGTTTTATTGTGTTGTATTTCATCTGTGAGAAGAAAATCCAACTAAGAGGGTAACAACCTACTGATGGTACCCACTAATGCAATTATTCTGTTAGCTAGAAGAGTAAATGCTTGTGTTATGATGCCGTAGGCTGAATACTCGGGGATGATTCCCAGGGGGGTATCCCATTTCTGTGGCTAGATGCAGAAATACCTTCAAGCAAGGTGCCCAAAGTTAGGGTGGTCTCTTAACTATGTTGTGATCAGAACAAAGCAAAACAGAAGTCAGGAAGCCAGTACAGTTGGCAGAAAAGTCAGTACAGACCTGGCCTGGCAAACGGTATTGCTTTTCCCTGGCTGGCAGAAAAACCTTGTGGCAAGGAACAGCAGCTGCCCTCAGGGTTCCTTCACTACAGGAGGAATATGAAGAACTTCTGTGCAGGATTCTGATTCCTATATGGGACCTGGATCACTACAGGGATGAGTAAGTGTTTGGATGTTTTACCATTACGTACAGGGAGAGCAAGGGCAGGTCTCTAGCCTACAACTGGCAAGCAAAATTTATGAACTTTCAGGCATGTTTTTTTAAACAAAACAACTGGAATAGTAAAAAGTAATTTGAAATTAGGAAAACGTGGTTTTGAAAAGCCATTTCCGTGATGCCAAGTGCATTTACTCACAGTGTATCACCTTCCCAATGTAAAGAAAAAAATCTGTAAATTTATTCTCAAAAGAGACAGAGAGAAAAAAAGGAAACATTATGTCATTTGATCCAAATGTATTCAGACATATATTGTGGACTTACTGCTGGCCCTCTTAAAGGAAATATTGATGTCATCCTGGCTTGCTTCAGACCCAGCAAAATTTAAATGATACAATGGTTTAAACTTTTGGGTTATAAAATGATGCTACCTAAGCTCAGTTGATACATTTTTTTTTTATATATAGAGAGCAAGAGAGAATACTGCTTTTAAGCAACTCGTATTTGTATGACTTGACTAGTTAAAAAAAAATAATATTTTAAAGCACATACTGTCTTCCTGACCATATCTGACCTCATCACTGAAGGGTAAGAACAACCACGCAAGTACTGTGTTGGTTAAATACAGCACAAAATTTAGGGAGATTTTGGCATGAAAGTGTGTGTGTGTGTGTGTGTGTGTGATGAAAGTGTGCGTGTGTGTGTGTGTGTGTGTGTGATTTTGGCATGAAAGTGTGTGTGTGTGTGTGTGTGATTTTGGCATGAAAGTGTGTGTGTGTGTGTCTGTGTCTGTGTGTGTGTGTCTGTGTGTGTGTCTGTGTATGTTAGCAGTGATTCAGATCTTGAATATTTTCTAGGTGTTGTGAATCACCCACGATAGGATCCTTCAGATCTCTTTTGACCAGAAAAAAATGAGATAAAAGCTCATTTATGATGAAAGCCTGTCCTCTGCTCCAGACACACTCTCTATAAGCACATTTAAAACCAGGCTTCGTCTTATGTATAGAAAGTCTTTATATCATGAAAGATTAATCTATTTCTTAATTTTACACTCGCAGTCACCATCTTTCTAACTGAAGTAGATTGAAATAAATTTCTTCAGTAACGCTGAGTATCACTGGTTAACAGGAATATCTCAAATACAGCTGTAAAGAACTGCTCTTCTTTCCTGTGACGGAATCTCTTTCCTTACTCCTTTAGTAAGGAGAAAATCTCTTTACTGCACTGGGAGTAAAGTCTCATTAACACTGAGAATTTTTTACAATTCTCCTTGCAAGGTCTTGTACTTCTTAAATTGTCCTTAAAGTGGTTGAGAATGCAATGAGAGCATAGCTCTAGGATAAAAGTCTCTCTTCTGCATATCGGTGTTACAAAGCTTTGCCTCTGACAGAAAGCATGAAAAGAGTTGCTACAGAGGGTAAGAATGAAAACTTTTAGAAAACTCCTTCGGGGTGGGGTGTGTTATCTGCCAGATCTTCAGTTGCTCTCAAATCACAGGGGTGTGTGCCTTGAATGCTATAGGGCATTGCAGATTTATGAAAATGGATGCCACCCCATCATGCATAGGGTATTGTGTTTTCAGATTTAGGTGTCTAACAGTTTATTATCAACAAGTCCTTCTCAGTATCTTAGCTTTCTGTCATTTAAAACCATAAGGTTTCACTCCACCGAACACGAACATTAAGAGTTACGAAACAAAAGACACACCAAAAATATATTTGAGAAAAGAAAGACCTAAAAAAAAAGTACTTTCTGAACTGGTAAACTAGTTTTATTAACACAGTCTCTAGTCCTTTCATTAAGTAAACACATCTAGTTCTGCCCCTGAAGTCATACTCATGAAACTAAGGGTTTATAACAGCAATACTAACACTACATTATCTAATGTAATGCTCTAATAAATAATGATGTATCATGCCAGAAGGGTTTAATTTGAAACAGATGGTCTAA